CTCGACCCCCCCCCCCCCCCCCCTCCCCTCTCCTCCCTACGTAGCCTTCTTGGCCAGCGTCGTCTCCAGCACGTCGACGTCGAGCTGCTCCATCACCTCGAGGACCAGGCTCAGGCTGTCCATGAACGAGTTGACGGCCACACGGAGCATGCGGTTGGTAGCGGCAGAGTACTCGGTGCGGAGCACCGTCTTCTCGGCCTCTTCATCATGTTGTTGTTGTTGTTGCGACTCGGCGACGACGGTGGAGAAGGAACGGTGCACCAGGGGCGACAGCTCCTTGTCCACGGCCAGCGCGCCTAGCGCCACCGAGGCTAGCCTGGCCGTCGGGAAGGGCACGTCTATCGTCCTATCGTTGTTTGGGGCCGAGGAGGGGTTTCCCGCTACCACGTCAACGAGGGGTGCTTACGTGCCTACTACGGGTGAGGAGGGGATGCAGCCAAGCCATGGAACAAACAAACAAAAAAAGACATGGGGGGCTGAAACGAGAATGCGTGGGCGCGACGAGGGGCAAGGCTGGTCCAAGCTGTACTCACAGGGCGCACGGGAACTCGAGGCTGGGGGTGTTGTCTGCCATGTTTGGGAGTGTTGTGTGTTTGTGTGTTTTGTGTTGTGTGCTATGGCTTCATGGGATCAACAACATCTGTCGTAGACACTGGGATTCCAATGGATGGGTTACGTTGTCTTGGAGTGGTGCAGAGGGTGAAGAAAAAATGGATTGGGGATGGATGGGGCTACGTCAGGGAAAAACTGCAGTGGTGATCAATGTTTGCACGGCTGAGCAAAAACATGCAGTTCTGGCAACGCTAATTGTAACACTCCATACCACCCACCACCCAACCTGCCTTGCTATTTCCTATATAGTTTTGGACTACCATCAAACGTCTCTTCATACTTCGTCATTATTAGGTTTTCTCCGTTCCTATTATGCTCCCGCTGTGGTGTTCTGTTTCGTCTTCCAGACTGCAGTTTTACCAGGGAACCTTGTAGCACGTGCCCACAAGCTTCGATTCACAGATTCCATGCGGGGGAGCCGTTGGCATGTAGCAGCCTCAGCTTGCCGTCTCAGGCGGCGGCACCCTCCCCAAGCGGTTGGTTTGCGGCCGCCGAAGCGGTGTTTCTGCAGCACCGCTGGACAACAACACAGAACGATAAGAAAGCGAACTCTGCCCCGAGGCGCCTGTAAGCTAAAGGGGACTGGGCTGGTGGGTCGCTCGCAATTGTCCTGGCAACCCGCCCCCAGGCGCTAGTTCGGGCAGGGGTTCAGTGTTACGAGGCCCACTTCGGACCCCCAGCCAAAATAAACAAAGCAGCATCTTCATAAGTACCTCAGCAGCATCGGGCATCGTGTGATTTCCTCGTCTTTGGGCTCATCCTCGATTCCCTCCAACAATCCCAGAATCTCTGGAGATTCCGCCTCCTGGGACGCGAGCGCAGCAGGTGTTTCTCTTGACCAACATCCTTAGCCACCCCGACAGCATGAGCCAGTGATTTTTGCGCGCTCGCCTCGCTTCTTTTACCGCTCCTTGTCTTTCCAGCATCCATCGATACCAGCCTGCTTCGCGCCTGCGCACCTGCATCGCTTGCTCTTCCCACTCTTTGCTGCCTAGCTCTTGCTGTCGAGTTCCCCCCGCCTCTTCCTTCTTCCCTCACACAGCGCAGAGATGGCGCCTTCCACTTCCAAGAACGCCAACCTGGGCCAAGTCATAGAGTACATCGCAGGTACGTTCCATCACGGCGCTCCCCGCCCCTGACATGTTTATCCTCGCCCCTTTTGCTCTGCCGTCGACAGCTCGCTTCTGCGCCACCTTGGGCATGCCTCGAGGCGTCGCTGGGGTTATTGTGTGTAAATGAGTTCACAGAGCACGCACAATGGATCGCAACGGCGAGCGAGCTATGCCTCGACTCGAGGCGCCGCCACCTTCCATGATCCCATATCATATACTCTTCCAAGCTTTTCCAGTAACACTACTGACATATCTTCAAGACCGACTATACCTCGCTTCATACGTCAACGCGCCCGACGAGGACACCCTCTTCCCATACCCCGACCCGCCGCAGCGCTCGCCTACTAAGCGGTCACGCGCAGCCGCCGCCGCTGAACCCGCGCGCACACGCAAGCAGCCCTACTACTTCTCGGTCGACGATTCGCTCCTCTACAATGCCTTCCACCATGACTTTGGCCCGCTCCACATCAGCCATCTGTACCGCTTCGCTCTCGAGTTCCATGACATCCTGGGTGCCAAGGAGAACAAGGACCGCCCTGTGGTTTTCTGGAGCAGGGCCGACCCTAGGAGTGAGTATTAGCTCGCACTGGAGACTATCTGTCAAGGTGCGCAGTCTGCTAATCAATATCTCCTCTCCAGGCCGCGCCAACGCCTCGTGCGTGCTGGCTTGCTACATGGTTCTCATCCAGTCGTGGCCGCCTCACCTGGCGCTCGCGCCCATTGCTCAGGTCGATCCCCCGCTGATGCCGTTCCGTGACGCCGGGTACAGCCAGGCGGACTACGGCATCACGGTCCAAGATGTCGTCTACGGCGTGTGGAAGGCCAAGGAGGAGCGCTGCGTTGGCCTCGACTCGTTCGATCTCGCCGAGTACGAGAAGTACGAAAGAGTCGAGAACGGTGACTTCAACTGGATCACGCCGCACTTCCTCGCATTTGCGTCTCCCATGCACCAGCCCGTCGAGCGTGTCACTGAGTCGTCGTCGGCGTACCCGCTCCTCCCCAAGACGGTTAAGGACGTCCAGGCCCACCCCCACCTGCCGGACCCCTTCAAGAACGTGCTTGCCCACTTCTCGGAGAGAAACATCGGCCTTGTCGTGCGCCTGAACTCGCAGCTTTACTCCCCATCGTACTTCGAGTCGATGGGAATTCGTCACCTGGACATGATTTTTGAGGATGGAACATGCCCACCCCTGACGATGGTGCGCAAGTTCATCAGGCTCGCCCATGAGACCATTATGGTCCGCAAGAAGGGCATCGCTGTTCACTGCAAGGCGGGTCTTGGCCGTACTGGCTGCCTCATTGGCGCGTACCTGATCTACCGCCACGGCTTCACTGCCAACGAGGTTATTGGCTACATGAGATTCATGCGCCCCGGCATGGTGGTCGGCCCTCAGCAGCACTGGCTTCATCTGAACCAGGGCGTGTTCCGTGAGTGGTGGGTTGAGGAGCGTGTGGCACGGAAGCTTCGCAAGGAGATGGCCGCCGCTGCCGCTGTCCCGAGCACCCCGATCCGCGCCATGCAGAAGACGTCGCTTGGCCGCAGCGCCGGCCAGCCCTCGACGCCTCCCAGCAGGAGCGCATCCAACCGCACGCCGCTCGGCGAGATGGACCAGGAGCGCAATACGGTTGGGGTGCAGGATGACTACCTCCCGGCCCCGACGCCCGGCCAGCCGCGCAAGACTAGTCGTCATCACCCGTACTCGAGGAGCACTGCCAACCACCCCCCGGTAGAGGAGGAGGCCAAGGTCGAGCAGGAGACGGAAGTAATTTCGATGCACCGCACCAGCCACTGCGGCGAATCGGATGAGGAGTGGCACCTGCGTCGCACGCACCGCAAGGCTTCGGCCTCGCCTGATGCGCACCGGGCCGAGAGGAGCGAGAAGACGAGGTCTGTCAGCCATAGCACGACCACGACGACCGTCTACACCACATCGCAGTATATCGACAACGACGCGTCCAACGACATCGAGAACGTCGGCACCGGTCTCGGTCGCACAAAGGGGAGCCACGACCGGTCCGGTAGCGCCTCTGGCGTCATGGCAAAGGTCCGCGGGGTCGACAGGTCAGGCAGCACTCGCCGGGGCGGCGTCACCGGCAAGGAGCCTGCGGGCATCCGCAAGACGAGCGGTCGCATCGCCAGCAGCCAGGCGGCCTCGGCCGTCCGCAAGGCCTCTGGTCTATAACCGGCCTGCCTAGCATTGTGACCGTTTAAGCAAGCGAGCATGGCCTGCCTGTTTTTTGCCCTTCTTCCCCCTTCTTCTTGTTCTTGATATCCACGGACGATATGACGGCGAATGACAAGTTACGACCTACCCCCCTCACACATTATTTCTGCTCCAACTTTGGAGCAATCCCCCGGATCTCCAAATAAAAGCCTTTGGATCATGTTGTCTTGGCTGCATGCTGTTGGCGTCTCTCTCTTTTTTCTCCATTCCTTAATCGCTCGCCTGGGAGAAATGCGGGAATGGATTCTGTCTTTTTTCTTGTTATATCTGCGTCCCTGGAACGGACGATTGTCGGTGTTGTGTTATTGTGTCATTGGATTTCACCGAGCATGGCTTTTGCAGCATTGTCTGAGCATGACATGTATCTCTGTTTACTAATCTCCCTCTTCCCATCTCTTTTCTTGGGAAGCTCTCCTTTGGCGTTCTGGGACTCGGGAGTCTACTCAGTTTATCCAACGGTGGCGGCCGGTTGGGATGGGATTGTCATTATTGTTTTGGTCTTATTTCCTCAATGGCTTGGACAGCAGGGAGCCTCTCTTGGTCGCCATCATCCGTTGAGCCCAGCAGGCAACCACGCACAGCCTGGCTCTTGATGGTGGTGGTTTTGGGTGGTCGGACACGCCCCCCTACCATATTCTCGTTCTTATTTTTTCCGGTCTGAATACATACCATGCATCGAAACAAACTGGGCGGTCGGAGGCCTCGTAGATGTGCCGCATGCTAAGTGGCAGCATGTCAATTATCACTCGAACAATCTGATGCCTGAAATGCCTCCAACGATCCGGCCGGCAGATATTGATGTTACGCAACATGATGGTTTCTTCTGTGCCTCCAAAATTTGCCCCCAAAGTAGGTGTTCCCAAGGCACCAAACAAGGTTCCAGGCAGTGCAGCGCACGACACATGGCCCTCGCATGGCCGAAAACTCTGATGCCTGACCGCCCGGCTCGAGGCCTAGAAGCTTTGTTGTGTCCCCCTCACACGCGCCGGCCAGGCACAGCCTCAAGCCACTGACCCGCCGGCCCAAGCTGTCGGGTCGGTGGCACAGGAAGAAATCGTGCTGTTTGTGCGTCCCCCGTTGGTGTGTTTTCGGGTCAACCAATGAATGCATACTGCTCACTCAAGTCTGGAAATCCATCTCGCTTCTAAGGACTGCCACAAAGGAGGATAAAAAAAAAAGGAAGGAAAAAAGAAAAGCAAGGGAAATCCACCACCGCCTGGAAATGAACCGGGCGGACTTTAAGCGCTTGCTTCTGGCGTGGGCAACTCCCGGGCCGGACAGGCCTCGCGGGAGGGCAGCGGCCAGTGGAACGGACATCATGGCGGCCTTTGGTCTCCGAGGCAGTGTTTCCCATTACACAACCCTTGCTCGCTGGGACCCCCGGTGCGAGCACAGGACGCCGGGAGCACGTGCTGGACGAGGAAGGGGAAATGAAGAAAACGCCTCGCTCTGTGCCTTCTCCTCGGGTGTGGCACCAAAGGCTGCAGCCTGGTGGTGGGGATCTGCGCGGACCGACGGTGAAGCAAAGGAAACGACAAGGTTTCCCCGACGATTGGGATGGTAACATGCCGTGGTCGTGTGGGATACGTGGTGACTGAACAATGGAAGCCGGTTCAGCAGCCGAGAGATGCTAAGGCACGATTAGCTAATGCTGTCGACCGGCGGCCTCCTCCTCCTCGCTGCATTGCGCTCGTTTTCCCGGCAGGCTGCGATAAGGAGGGGCGGAGGAGGAGGCGGTAAGGTGGAAGAAAGGGCGAGGAGGGAAAAGAGCGCGGAATCACGGGGCCGTTGGTGGTTCAGAGCCCGGACATGGAGGTCGGAGCGAGAGAGAGGAAGCCACGGGTCGCCGCCAGGGAACAAAATAAGTGGGCGGGGCCGCATTCGCGGTCGCAGGGGCGGCGGCCAGAAAAGCGGCCAGGCGTCGAGGACGGAGCGTCATGGGTCTCTCTCTTATATAGGGACCGACGCTGGGAGAGGCGCAGTCGGTGATGTGGCTACCTCGCCCTGCAGGCGTGCCATGTTTGCGATCAAGGCAGCAGCAAACCGGCTACTGGAAAGTGACTTGAGGTCGAGTCTAGTATGGAGGTATTGCAAGGGAAGTCAATCTCCAGTGCTAGCACTATGTTCTAGTTCTAGGTGGACTGTGGGGCTTACTCCCCCACCAAGACCGACTTGTGCTTTCACTTTACTGGCGATAGCGACCACAGTGGCTGTGCCGCCAACAACCGCGCGGGGCTCCACAGCACACGCGGGTTGTCGCTCAATTAATCCATGGGCCCTTCCATGAGCTCTTTCGTCCTTCCTGCCACCATCTGCGACCGTTCCCAGGACCTACAGCTTGGATCCCAGCGCCAAAACGGGGCGTTCTAGCTGCGACACAGACGCATTCCTGACGGCCATGATATGAGGAATGGGAGCAAGGCATTTTCCGCGTCCCCAGAGAAGAACCAAGACGGACTACTTATTATGCACCTCTTGGCGGCGTCACGACAGGAGGCATTCGTTGGCTTCTATGCCCTCTCCGCAGTTGATATTGCTCCGGCAAGACAGATTCCCTCATGCCAAACATATGGGGATTGTAGATGCTGTCCGGCGTTGTCGAGGACCCAAGTGGTCGGAATCCTTGCTGGTGTCAGTAACCTTCAACACCCCTGCACCTGCAGTGCCGCATATACACCACCTCGACCTCCTTCTCCCTCCCCAAGTAGGCAAGTACCTACCTACTCGGTAGGTAGGCAGCCCATGTAAGTACCCAGGTACCCAAGCAGGTCCCGGCCCAAGGCACCTACATAGCTGTGATACGTACCAACACGCCTGGCCATGATACCCTCCCACACCCCAACCTACCTCACGGGCCCTCCCCACATGATTTCCCATCCCCCAGCATGAGGCACGATGGTTCTCTGCTCCCACCCAGCCCAAGATTTTGCCCTGCTATCCAACAGCCACTCTACCCCGCTAGCCTCACCCCCTGCGTGGCATCCCTCCCGCCTCCGAGGATGCCTCATGCCCTCGACCCAGCCTTTTGGGTCACCTCCCCACCCTAGCAGAACACCATTCCCTGTCCACCGATACACACACCTTCTAGGCTACCGCAAATCGCTGCACCACCGGTTCCGGCTGCATCGTTCGGCCTCATCGGTCCAGCTTGACCGCGGCCGTACCTTGCCGAGAGGGGATAGATACCTGTGGGGGGTGGTGCCGGTGGCTCATGCCGGCTTGTCACGCTAACCCCATCCTGCCCCCCACCATAGCCTCGCGGTCGTCATATCACAGGCCCCTGAGGGCCTCGAGAAATCGCGAATCCGCGGCTGACGGAGCGGCAGCACTGCCACCGTGATCCAGAGAAAGAGGTACCGGTACGCACTCAGGGCCACTGTTCTACCCCATGTTCTTTGCTTCACCTCTGTACATATCGGACCCACAAGGCTTCAGTTTAGAGCACCACTGCCCGATTATCTGGTTTCTAGGCACTCAAGTATAAAGGCCCAGAGCATCCTGCGTCAAGATTTTTTGGCCCCCATCTCACCACTGACCCCGCCCATCATAAAACCTCATCAAGCCCGCTGGCCTTTCCATGCATCTTACCCCAACTACCAACTTGATACAAACGCCATTTTCTCTTGCAGTTATGCCGCCAACAACTCGATCCCAAGCTCATCGACTCGACACCACTGTGGCGCCGGCGACGGAATACCATGACCACAGCGATACTGAGAGCGAGCTTGATGATCTAGACGCCGACAATATTGTGCGGTCGCCCTTCACTGGACTCATGTACGATATCAGTCAGCTGCCTACTGGTGACTCGGCCCAAGGTGCCGTGGACAGCCAACAAACACACTCCCGGGTCGATCCCGGAGACCAGGACCGGGACATCCAGGGCCGCGTCAGAGAGCTCTTCCGGAAACTCGGCAGCCACGAATCCCCGCCCATCAATCTCCAGTTCTGCGGGCTTGGAGAGGAGGACGGGGGGGAGTTCTATGCTTTTCAGCTCCGCGAGATCATCCCTCTTTCCATCCGCATCGGGACGCCCACAAGCAGGTGGTCAGAGCCTCACTGCAGCTGCAGGAATCGTAAGCCCTGTCAGCACCTTATATGGCTCTACGACGCCATATCGGGCCTCTCCCTAGACAACCACGACGATAGCCGTCCCTTGGTCGTCAACAGGGCTGGGGGGATCCCCGGGATGGAGGACCCATTCAGCACGATAGCAGACTTCCGGCTCGACCTCCTCACCAAGGGTCTCCACTGCGGCGTCGGCAGCTCATATGAATACGGAAATCGGGACTGGTTCAGAGAGATGGAGGCCGACGAGATCCTGTTGGCCCTGGAGGGCTCCGGGTCAGAAGACGACTCTGACCTCGACCACCACCACAGCTACCCGAACCCCAGTAAGCGAAGAAGGCTGGAGGCGCCTCCGCAGAGGAGAAGCCGGCTTGAGAGGACCGTCCGCGAGCTCCTCGTGCAGAACAACGAGGTATTCTCGGTGTTTCTGAACATGCTCTCCCCGCGGGACAAGGTGCGCAACCTGTACTCGAGGCTCCAGGACAGGGTTGACGCCGTCCTGCTCGAGCTGAAGCGCTACTCCGAGTCCCTCGCGGACCCGTCCCTGGCCTCGGACCTGGCCAGCACGGGCGCGGACCGCGAGGGTAGGTGCGACGTCGCCTGGGCGTCACGCCACATCCTCCGGGCCGTCAGCCAGATCGGGAGCGAGCTCCTGCGGGCGCCGGGGCCGGGCCCCCGCGAGAGGGCGGACGCGGCGCGGGCGCTCATGCACATCCTGGAGGCGGTGGTGCTCGGGTACGACGGCGACATGTACCCGAGCGGCGCCTCGCCCCGCGACCGCAACCTGTACCGCCGCCTCGTCGAGGCGGGCGGGCACGCCGGCGGCCTCTTCGTCGTCGAGCAGCTCGGCCACGTCCTAGACCAGACGCAGCACGCCGACCGGATCGAGGCCATCAAGAAGAGGGTGCGCGCCAGGGGGGCCCCCGCCGCGTACCTGGACCGCCTCGAGGAGGTGGCCGCCGGCATGCGGTCCATACAGTCCCGCCAGGGGTCCGCGGTGCCGTACAGCCCCTCGGTGAGCAGCAGCGCCGACGACGGGGGCGAGAGTGCTGGGGGTCTGCAGCCCGTTGTTGCTGATTCTGCTGCCCCCAGCGTACAGGCCACGGCTGGGTTGAAGCGGACGTGGGAGGGTGACTATTAGCGGATCGGTTGCTATCCGTTTACAGATTCATGCTCTTTTCCTATTACCACTTTAAATTCAGCTTGGCCTGTAATCTCTCTATTTTTTTTTCTATTTTTTTCTTCGCCTTCGTCTGTTCTTCTCTCCCTTGGTTTGGGGTTCCTTTGTTTAGACTAGCGATGCCTCACGAGATTCACGTCCACGAAGATATTCCCTACTCTCTCTTAAGAGAGACCAATTCTATCATCTCCATCTTACTGTTATCAACGCTCCATCTCCATTTCTTATTAATTTCATCCCAACTCAGCACTTTCACTCGGTCTGAATATCTAGGCAGTCTTAAATAAAGAAGTTTTCTAGACGATAAAAACATGCAGTCAATATAGATATCCGACACATGCGTTCGCCTTTCCTATTTTGAATGCTGTTTTTGGCTCAATCAATGACGGAAAAGTCGGTGCCTGAGGTTTCCATACTGCTGCCTGCTCGCTGACTGCAGGAAGGTGTGATTCTAGACATGCTTACATAACACACATAACACCCACCTCGGCGCTGCAGTCTGTGCTCCTGCCTTGGCTGCCACTAGTCTCGGAACCTTCCCGAGGAGGCTCCACCGAGCCTTCCAGCGCCAAGGGCGGGGGACTTGCGACTTCCTTGGCCGGGTGAGCTGTCACCGCACCTTCCCAAACCCCGAAGCTGACTTGACGCCTCGTTTCAATCTCCAATTCCCAATCCTTCACCCTCCGCCTCGTCTCGTCTCCCCATCCCACCAAAGTCAACAGGCACAAGCGTTCCGTCTCGCCTCCCCGCTCCTCACACAAATCCTGCGCGCGTGCAACCCGGGCGCCGGCAGCTCTCCAGAACCATGCGCTTCCAAGTCACTACTGTGTCGCATAAAGCGGCATTCCCGTTGCCCTTCTTTCCCTGCCCCTGAGCAAACGGAATGAATGCCGGCCTCGCAAGCTCCAGAATCAAGAACATGTTGATCTCCCGGATGGGCTCGGCACTCAACACTTCGCCAACCACACCTAGCGTGGCTTGACCCCCTTCCGACAAGACTCTCGACGGTCCTGCCCGCCCCGTATCAGCCGCCATGCAAGCACGCAGCTCGGTCGGCCGGTCGCCGCCCGGCGTCAACCCCCTGCTATGCAGTCGGCCCAGCTGAGGTCGTTCAGAAGCGTCTTCGGCCTCACCAAGAGCCCTCGACATCCCGCCGCCCGCGCCGCGACCCCACAAGCCAAAGCGAGCGTCTATGCGCACCCTGCTGCTGCCATCCCCACCGCCGCCAATCCCGCATATCGTCCTGGGCAGGACGGTAAAAGGCCCAATGGAGTTGTCCGGTTACATGGATTAGGTACCGGCAACAATCGGATGAGGAAGACATAATGGATGGATTGCTATGATTCTTTCTTCTCACGGGGAACGTACGGCTGCATGTACAAGGGGAAAAAAAAAGAGTGCGCCAGGCATGTTTAAGATGGCGTCAATTTCAGTAAGTCGGCATATTCTCCGGTTGCCCAACTGCCCCGCCAGCCGTGCTAACCAGCTCGATTTGAACCAGGGAAGATAAACGCCGGCGTCAGATCTGATTGGATCTTTCAATGAAGCTGTTCGGGCCATAGAGAGGAGCGCATTTTGCTACGACTTAACGACCTCATGCGGCAGAGAGGAATGGACGACCCAGGCGTTCTCGTGGTTCTCGACTCGTTTGTTACTCGCGACTTGGTCCTCCCCAACGACGAAAACGACAATGAACAACTACAGCAACATAGCAGCAACGACAGCACAGCAGCAACAACAAGGTTGCTCAGCGGATCACAAGCCAGCCCGGGTTGATCCCTCGTTGAGAGGTCGGGGGAAACCTGGGCACACAGCGGAGGCGGTATGACAGGTATGGCCAACAAATTTGAAATTCGAACACGGCCATGGTTACTGACAATGTTCGGAGCTGGGATTGTAGATGAGGTGGCCCTAGCCAATCTGCAAGCCTTGTCCTGGGCAGGACGTTAAAAGGCCCAGGCTTGCCTCTGGCTCTGAGTCAGGGGGTATATCCGCCTGTTGGTGTCGACGACTGGCTTGGATGTTCCTCAACCCTCAGCGGAGCGGCTGGTGGGTAGTGGCAGCAGCTTTTACACTGGTAATGTCAGCCAGTGGCTGGCCCCAAGGGCCAGTGGCCGGACGCGGAGTTTCGTGGGTCAAGCCATGAACCCCCTCGGCCGGTCGGCCTCTCTTCGCCGTTCACCCGGATGCTTCCAATCTTGAAAGTGTTTGGGTCTCGCGGGCAGGTCAAATTGACCTCGACGCTCTGGCCCGGGACGGTATCCTAGCGGCATCAGTGATGCCGCCAGAGAGAGGCGGGACGGGCGCTCTATTGCCGTGGCGACTGGCCATTAGATCGAGTGTTATACACCGGTTTGCTTGCAATCAAGTTTAGCATACCGGGGCGGAAGCCATCGCGATCTATCGCGGTGTCTTCCGCCAGTCCCTTTCGAGTCGGGGTCCCTTCTGAAGGAGATAAGCGCGATAGTAGGGGCGATATGCCTGGCAAGCCGTCCTGGTCTTGGCAACAATCATCCACCAGGGCGTCACTCGGCAGAAGCAACCCTTGCTCCGGAGCCAGCGTAAGTCACTTGTCTTTCCGTACCCGTCTTGCTGATCGATAAAGGATGAGTGGCTAACGCATGATATCCTGCCGAAAAGGTCACGGACTCGGCCGTGGGGGACCCGACCCAGAATCACGTCACCTTGAACTTAGGACTTAGTCTTGAGGGAGAGCCGATGCTGGGTCTAACGATCGATTGGGGAGGACGTAGTTGCCTCAGGGTTGGACTGGTCGCGTCTTCCAGAGGGCCGCATCTCTGAGAGTTGCGGTGCCTCAAAAACCCGAACACTCGATCCCAGGTTCGGGGCATAGGGAGTCGATTGGAAAGAGGGGACATCAGGTGGGGGGTTTTGCTCAAGTGGGATACCGTTTTGATTCTCTTGCACTGAGCCGGGCGATGAGCTCGTCGAGTAGGATGGCTGGGCACCGTAAATTCAAGCCTGACTTTGTCCCCAATCATGGCCTGGGTCCGCGATGTGTGTGTGTGTGTGTGTGTGTGGAAGAGAGAGAGCATATTATGCACAGGTGGCATAGTGTGATGTGCCCGGACTAACAGGCACCGGCGGGAAACTCTCGGCGCCTTCGCGCGCAACCCCCGCCACGTTCCGGAGACTTGCGAAAGACACGCGTAAGATTAAAGTTTTACGCAGAAGAAAGCTGGACCCAGCTGTCCTTTACACTGGTTGCACTAAGGTTTGGACGGCGTGAGCAAAAGCCCATGACTAGAGTGACGCCTTTGCGGCACGCGCCGTCCATCAGGCGGCCAGCGCCATGGCGTCGAGGCCACGGATGGCTTTTGGCTTTTGCGGGTCACGGCGTCGACTAATACCACTTACCAACCCGGGAGGTGGCGAGAGACAAAGGGGATTCTGCGACGGCGCCTACAACGATCGAACGCCTCGGGAATCGGCTACGCCGCCAAGGGGAGGCTGCTCAATGCGGCCCGAAGCGGGTTCGAGCCTGTCCCGCCCCGAGACGTGCAAATTTAGAAGCCGCGTCCGTCTCAAAGATTGGCGTGGCGCGGGGGTTTGTTCTTTTTTTACACATTTTCATCGACGGGGAGAAAACAAGGAGCATTCAGAGACGGTGGCAGTTTAAAGTTTCTCTTTTCCCCCTCCGCCCCATTTGAGAGCGGCGCGAGCGACCAGAGAGCCATGACCGGATACGCGAAACGTATCACGAGGCGCAAGCGGCCTCGACACGTAAGCGGACCTGGAGAGGGCTTGTCAACGATGTCTTGATGTCGCCTCGAACAGCAAGCATGCACACAGCCCGCGACCAGCCAGACGATCCCACCATCTCCAATCTTGGCGTTCGGAGGATGCAGCCCTACGATCTCGAGCTACGCTAGCGCGCATCCATCAGCAAGCGGTCTTCATGTTCGCTCTGACAGACACACACGTGCCCACGCAGCCCTCGGCGGTGCCCAGCGCAAAAAGTGCAATGCAGCAGTTCCAGGCGGACTGCTCGCATGCGTGTGCGTGTGTGCCCAGACCGTGAACGACTCGCCGTTACGATCTGGTGCGACTTTGACGTCGCATTCGAGAATGCAAACTTCACGTCTTCGTCCGACGAGCGCGCCGACCGACAGGACAGGAGCTGGGCCCGCATGGATTGCGCCGCACAAAAAGGGAAAGGAAAAAGGGGGACATGAACCTTCCACAACCCATGGAGCCTAGCCGTCACATCTTTGCTGGATACCCACCCCAGGGGGCTCGCTCCTTGGAACATGGAAAGGCAAACAAACTTTTGAGTACTTTGACGACATCTCGCGGAGAAGCGAGAACATGGATCAGCTCCCTCGAGATTTTCCTCAGTCGGTCGAACGACGTGGGAGTCGAGGGGAACTGACAGCGTCTGAAACAAAGGAAATCAACCCTACCAGTACAACCCCGTCGCCGTGGAGCTGTCATCCTGTCGACTGCGTGGCATGGATTGGGCGGTGACACCGAGTGACTCTTTTCTTTCGAGTCGCGGCGCAACTGGAACTGGGCCAAAAGGCACCTTCTCTCGTAGCGCAAAGCATATGGACTGACTGTATTTGGGCGCCGGCGGCTATTGGTGGTGGAGAAATATTGGTGTCAGCACATCCAGATTGGGAAGCCAGCGAGGCGCGGCTCAAGTGGCTGTTGGCTGGAGGCCCTGCATGCACGCATGTTGCGCCAAAAGGTGTGGACGCTATTGAGGGGGTGGGCATTCAGCCGGTGGGCCGTCGGGGGCATCAATAGGATGATGGCGCAGCTCCCAGAGGCAACAGCATTTCGGCCGCCCGCCGTGGCTTGCAAGAGGCGAGCTGGCTGGCGTCTGGTAGCGGTGGCGGTAGCGGCACTTCCATCGAGAACCTTTCGAGGTCCCCTGTTAGGTCGCACCGCGTCTGGAGCTTCCCATCTCGGGGGCCGACCGGTGAATTCAAGAGGTCGCCGCTAGCATGGAATGTGTTTGTCCTATCGACAGACGGGTTGATTGAAGGTTTGATTGAAGCGGTGTTGCTTCCTTGGAATAGTGTGGAGCGCCCAGACGGACAAACAAACCCTCATCAACCGTTTCCTGCCTGCTGCCAATGAGGTAAGCGGGCGGGAAACAGTCGGGAAAACCAGCCAGTTCATGAAATGATAATAAGCGGAGAAACTGGGGCGCTTCATCAATCGCTACCATATCTACTCCCGCGAATCAAGCATGGCGTTTGCTTCTGCGCTGTTTCGGGGAGGCGCAGTTGGCTGCTGGTGGCAGCTGCGGGTGCCCGCCCACCACAGCCCGATCGTGCCTGCTGATCTTTGCCAAAATGCCCCGGAAACGTGTGAAATGCGCGAGTCGCCAGTAGAAACATCGACATGACGATTGTCAGCGCACGCACAGTACTACCTAGTCTGTGTGTTTGTGTGTGTGCAAGGCAGCTGGACGGCCGGGTCTTGGCGGACAACGAGGGCGAAGCTGCACGGCCGGGCTGAGGCGCGAAGCTCGAGGGAGTTGGAAAGCCCCGAAGGCTGGAATCGGGCTTGGATCTGGCGTGAAAAGCCCCGAGCTCAATCAGACGGATGTGGTGCTGCCAGGCGTCCATTGGCCTGGGCTTGGCCTGCATGGGCCCAAGGCACAGGCGGGCCCACACCCCGGCTCCCGGCTCCCGGCTCAGGGGGAAACCTCGGTCTGCGCTAGGCCCAAAGGGGGATTGGCCCTCCCAAGGGTGCTCCCTCGAACGAATCAGGTGGCCCGCCTAATTTCGCCGTCTAATTACAGAATCCATCGCGTCAAGTGTGCTCCTAGCCAAAGCCCACTGCGCGCTTGTTGGTGCGCTCTCTGGAATGAGACCTGCCCACACCTCTGGTCGGATGATCAGCCCTCCCCCTCCCCCCGCCCTTTTGCCCTTTTGCCCTCCTGGCAAGGGGCACCATGTCAGCATGTCCCTTCGACGCGGTAAAGGGGACGCCGGCCAAGGCCAGATCCTGACCCAGCGGCAAGGTCAGCCTGCCCCGGCATGTCTCCAGAAGGCCCTCGTCCAACGGCTACCGACCCTGTCCTAGGTGCATTGACCAGCCCCCCGAAATGTACTATTTTGCTGACTTTTTCTGTCACTCGGCGTTTCTGATTCCTCTCCTCTTCTTTTCTCCTCACCCGCACCTTGCGATCTAGTCACTCTTTCCCAGTCACAGCTGCTGCCTCAGCCTCGTACACTCCTTTTACATATAATCGCTCCCTGCCCACCGGCGTCACTCTCAAAGGTATGTGTATTCCCCCCTTCTCTTCCCCACCCCATCCCTTCAGACCACACGCCGGCGCGTCGCCATCCCACTTCATTCCTTGTTCCCTTTTTCCCTTCCTAGTGATACCCCACGCCTAGACCAGGACGACGACGACCTCTTCCGATTTTCCATACTTACCGTCTCCATACCTCTATCAGCTTCTACCTGCTTTAATATTCTTTAATATCCACCGCCGGAACAACAAACAGCAACCCTCGTCAAGATGCAGTTCACCGTCACCGCCATTCTTGCCCTTGTCGGCTCTGCCCTTGCGCAGACCCCGAACTTCAATCCCCTCACCAACCCGCTCTCGGGCGAGGTCATTCCCGCCGGCAAGATGTACCCCATCAAGTGGACTCCTCAGGGCGGTAATGGCGCCCCGGTCAGCCTCTACGCCTACGCCGGCGAGAGCGCTTCGACTCTGCAGGAGATCGGCGTCATTGCCAGTATGTGATATCTTGGTGACGCTTTCCCAGTGCTTTTGTGTGTCTCTGATCCAATCTGACATATCCCTCTTTCAGCTGGTGTTGAGGCCTCGCTTGGCAGGTTCGAGTGGAACGTTGATGCTGCCATTGGCGGCAAGTACAAGGCGTACGGCATCAAGATCGCCCTGGCCTCGGACAAGGAGGTCTACCAGTGGTCCAACCCCTTCACTGTTTCGGCCGCCGTGGGCTCTTCGTCGACCTCGTCGGTGGTCAGCACCAAGGCCAGCTCCTCCGCATCCTCCTCATCCTCCATGTCCGTCAAGACCGACAGCTCCTCCGTTACCAGCACCAAGGCCACCGTTTCGTCCACCACCGTTGCCCCGATCACCAGCTCGACCATGGTCACCAGCACCCCTATCGGTAACCTGTCCACCTCTGCTACGCGCGCCACCTCCAGCCAGGTCACTCTCGTCACCTCGACGTCGTCGCGTGCCGCTGGTACCTCGCCCACCGTTCCTGTCACCGTCCCCACCGGTGGTGCCGTCACGAAGGGTGCCAGCTCTATTGCTATCATCGCCGGTCTGGCCATGGCCGTCCTTGCTCTGTAAAGGACATTTTTACAATGTGCGCTTCTTTATTTGTTTTTTGATTGGTCGTTTCTCGTTACTTTAGATGAAGTGTAGCAATGTTTCTATGCCTACCGATCTCCATCGAGGTCGAGTCGCGGGGTCACGTGTCTTTCAAATAAAAGACAATAGACAGCAATGATAATTTTTCCAACTTTGTCTGTTGCGTTTCCTTCGTGTAATCTTCAGGGTCCACTTCGCAAGGACAACCTGTCCTGGATAGTTCCATGTGTCGTGGGATATCGGGGCCATACGAACAAGCTTAGTCCAAATAAAGGCTGCATCTGCGTGCTATTTTTCAGCGTCCAATTTCCGTCGCTTCTAGTGCGGTTTAATGTCTGTTCTCGGGTGCAACTACCAACGACAGACAGAAAACACCGCGTTGGCGCTGGTAGCTTTGACTGGCGAATTACACCTGTATTCAAGGGCTCCCAGGCTGCCTCGACCAACCTGGTCTGTTGGTCGGAGCCTCATCGCAATTTCCACCTCAGGTCCGTCCAAGCGAACTAGCGCTGTGCTAGCTATGCTTGCTTGCAACTTTTTTTACTCTTTCTGTTTCTTATTTTCTCCTTCCTGCAAGCAGCCCGCCCCGCGCTATTTTCTCTCTTCTTCTTGTCCGCCCCCTGTGCTTCCTTTTGCTCGCTTACCGTGCCGTGCCTCGCCCCCCCCTTTCCTTTTCCCGAGTCGCCAGTCTTGTGCGATCTTGGCATGTCGCACGGCCATGAGAGCCGAAGACTCGTTTGCCCCCTGGCCAAGGTACCTCTACGGCACAAGCAACCGGACAGATAATGACGACCGACCGCACGCGCAGATCTCCCGGTGAGGGCACACCACCGTCTGAGCGGCAGTGACGACGGTTTTTTTTTTTTTTTGCCGCTTTCTTGGCTATTACCCAAGGACATGTTCTGGACCCGCCTATGCCTGCGGACAATATTGCTTTTTAGAACCGCCATTTGCGCTGCAAAATAGGAGCCAAGTTGTGGGGGAACAAAGGAGCCGCATCCTGTCAAACCTGCATTGCAAAACGTTGCACAAACTCAGCCAACCGATATTGGAGGCTCGAGGCCCCTGCACGAATTTGCCAGGCTTACAATCGGTGCAGAGGAATGGCGGCATTGATTGTTCAGGATTCAATAACATTTTGGGACCCAAGGATAAGCACATTTCCCTCTATTGATGAGTATTGAACGCCACTGCGCCAATCCCGCGCATTCTATGCCTGTACAATTGTGAAAATCCAACTAATTCAAGTTTCCGGCTACCCAAACAAGAGCTCATCTGTCCTATTTGCTCCCAGAAAATGCCCAACGCCCCCTCTTGTTGTAACCAACCATCACGGGAAGATAAAAGAGAGAAGAAAAAAAAACAACAACAGGCAAACACTGGAAACTATTCAAAACGACAATAATCAGCACCTAATGGCCACCAACCTGGCCCTTGGGCAGTGGTGGGATCCAGCACGTGAGCAGGTTGAGGGCGATGTGGATGATGCCAATCATCCAGATGGCGCCGGCGTAGTTCTTGCCGTCGCCCATGAAGCGGAAGATGATGGCGAAGACGATGCCGCCCAGGTTGCCGCCGGCGCCCGTGATGCCCGAGAGGATGCCGTTGGCGTGCGGGTGCACGTGGGGCACCAGCGCAAAGTTCGCCCCGTTTCCGGCCTCGTGGAAGACAGCCATGAGCGCGATGAGGCCGAACATGGTCGACTGGTCGTGCGGGTCCAGGCGCCCGATGAGGATGAGCAGCGCCCCGGTGACGATGCCCGTCACGTGGATCCAGCCCTTCTTGAGCCACAGGTTGCGCCCGCCCATGTTGTAGAGGAGGTCGCTCACCACGCCTCCGAGCGGCCGCGTGACAAAGTTCATGAAGCCGAACATGGCCGCCCAGTTGGAGGCACCCGTCTGACCCAGCCCGGGAAAGTTCTTGAGGTAGTAGGAGCTGAGGATGGAGTTGATGGCGAGCTCGCCGCCGAAGGAGCAGAAGTACGTGGCCACGTGCATAATCGTCTGCGGCGACACCGTGATCCTCAGGCCCTCCTTGAACGTCGGCTTGACCACCACCTCGCCCCGCGCCGTCTCCAGCATCTCCTGCTTGGAGAGAGCGGCCTCGTGGTCCACCACCGGCCCCTCGGTCTTCTCCGGCTTCTTCTCTGCGTCGACACTCCTCTCGGTTTCGGACGGGCGCCTGTCAGCGATGCCGCCGGGGACGTCGACCATGACATCCTCTGTCGCGCCTTGTAATTGCAGGTTCTCCTGCACATGCAGGTGGCGTTCACTCCACTTTCCGGTCGGGGTGTCGGGACAGAGCATGATCAGACCGATGCCAGTGGAGATGGTCATGATGAGAGGCACGATGAAGGTGAGGCGCCACGATAGGCCTGGTGTGTATCCGAGCTTGTGATGGAACGAGTCGAATACGGCCGGCATGATGAAGTAGGTGATGCCGCCGCCGGCGTTTCCGAAGCCGCCCGTGAGAGCGTTTGCTGTGCCGACCACATTCTGCACCGTGTTAGTGTAAGCGCGTGTTCGGGCCTGCAAAGGGTGAATCCAGGGAAAGAAATCCAGGAAAAGAAGGGTTTTGACAAGCCATGCGTACCTTGTCAAAGAAACCGGTCGACCAGACCTGGCAGGGCACGAAGGCTCCACCCAGAATGCCGATAAAGAATCGGCTGATGTAGAGGCCGGTCGCGTTCTGGACAAGAGGTGCAAGACCCAGAGGGATGGACCCGACAAGGAGAAGACCACCAAACACAAGGCGGGATCCCCACATGTCACACAGGGGCCCGGCAATCCCACGCACAAAGAGTGTGGCAACCAGCGATACGATGTTGGAGTTGGCAACTTCGGCAGGGGTGAGCCCCAAGTCCGCCCGGATGGTGACCGTCAACTGTGCAGCCAGACGAAAGATTTGTCAGTTCCGTGCATGCCACCTCCGCTGCTGACATCTGGGGAAGGACAGAGGCATGCCAGGTGGGTTGGATAGGGCTGCGTGGGGGTGGGGTGGACTTACCAGAGGAGGAAACGTGTACCAAGCCCAGAAGGAGATCATGAAGCCAAACCAAGAAAAGAAGAACACGCGGCCGTATATGTTGAGAAGATTCAGCGCCGGGATGGCGCGGGCTTTCCTGTTGATCGGGTTGATCTCAGGGGCCCTGTAGAGGTCCGAGAATTTGAGCTTGACACCCATCTTGGGCAGCCGAGCCGGGCCCGAGAGGATGGCTGAGAGAGAATCTGGTGGGTCCGGGAGGATGATGTCGACAAGTGGGTGTGATGTCGCTGGTCTGGTCGCGCCTTATCCCCGAGTGGTGGTGGGTGCTTATCCGGGAGTGTTGGAATCGAGAGGACTCCCCATCGGCCCATCGGGATAACAGACGTGTCTTTGGCGGTTATATATCTATCTCCCCAGCGACTCACTCCAGCGTGATGGTTTTGAGAGCAAGCCCTGGCGAATTTTGCATCTCCGGGGACGTGAAGTCCAGACAGAGCCCCAGCCGCAAGCTGCCGTGGGCCAATCTAGTACGGGTAGACTTGTGGGGTTGGGGAGGGTCTCTGATGGTCGCCCGAGCCGGAGAAAGACATCCCAGAAGCAAGGCGCCGCCTGGGGCGTGTGGATGGTGATATGTGGGATGGGTGCCCTGGATGAAGTTGGGGCTCGGGTAGCCCAATAATGGATCCTCTTGGAAGCGATCGCGCTACCACGAGATAAGTATCTCGCTGATAACAGGAAACCAGTGGTCAAATGCCGGGCTCAACATGTGTTGACCGCGCGGTATACTAGCGGCGGTAGTGCCACTTGCTTGGTCCCAAGGCGACGATAGCAAGCCGTAATCCACACGCGCTTAGCCCTGTTGCTCGCCCTGACGTCCACCAGTCAGTGTCTGGAGAAAAGAAAACGTCGGTTTGGGTTGGAGTAGCGGACAGACACCCCAGACACAGAGATTGTGACATCAATGATCAGACAGGGTTCTGGTGGGAGGAGGGGGCGTGTAAGCAACAATACTTGCCTTTCAGGTGTGTTTAGAAAATGGAAGAGAATTTTTGAGCTCGTCGGCGACTGGCCAGGCTTTGTTCTTTCTCCCAGGAAGACAGGGATTCGTTTTGTGGTTTAGCGTCCAAAAAATGCCATTTCCTTCCTTGCGTTTGCTTTCCGTCTGGTTTAGTGTGATCTAGCCAACTTGCAGCCCGGCCGTCGACCCAGCCACCGAGGATCGTCCACAAAATGGCGAGGAGGACTGACAGCCTCGAATTGTATCAAGAACATCTCAGAAGTTGGCTGCCCTCCACTGAGGAGTGCCTGGCGCCCTGCTATGTGAGGCGCCACAAGAACATCTGGGGCGCCAGTACTTGGATGGCAAGGTGCTCGCATGGAGGCGTGCTCCGCGTCGGGTCGTGTAGTTCCTTATCTCGACCGAATCTCATGCATCCGAGATAGAGAGGCGGCAGACAGGGATGACATTGGACAGAGGGGTCCCTTATCTTGGGCGGTCGCGGCGTGCGTGTTCCCGCCGGTCCTGAATCGGACCCTGCAAAGATAAGGCACGCTTTTTTCGAACCGCACCCCTAGCCCACCCCAGAACCCGTCGTCGCCCTTTTTCCACAGTGGTGGATATGCGGTCCAGGCTAAGGCGATGCCGCCATGGTGGGAAGATGAGAGTTTTGGCAACGGCGAGCGCATCAACGAGCGGCAGTGGAGGTGAGCACAGTGAGGCTGATTGTCGTCACTCAAGAATGAAAATCCACACAGCCCCGCGCTGGGTGAACCTGCCGGGCTATCTAAACCACTTTTGGCAAGGATCGCAAGCCCGGTGATAAGACCCACATGGCATCAAATCTGTGGATGCTGATGAAAGCTTTTGCGAAGGTCCGTTGTTCGCCTTGAAGCTACTAGATTTTTTGATTTTTTTTTCTCTTTTTCTGCCGCACTTCGAATTGTGTCTACCTGGTAACCAAGCCGTCCCATTTTTCTCTTGGGTTTTCGATCCTTATCTCCTCCTGCAAGTGCGTCATTCTCTCAGTGCTAAGCTCTTGTCAAGCACGCCGTTGCGGTTCAAGCGTTGAACTTTTTCCGTTGCACCGCATGGATCCTCGGCTTGGCGCGGATATGAGCGAGCCAAGCGTTTGTAACGCACTCGCAGAACCTGAAAAACGGGAATTTGTCAAATCGGAACCATATCAAACAGCTGACCTAAGCGCAACGATATCGATCGCCACTCTAGACCCCCACGGTCTGAGTGCCTCCCGTACTCCCCTGAGCCGCCTGATGGCTCGTGCGCCCGGCCGCCTACCTGCCAGCCCAGAAGTGCTGGCTCCGGAGATGCAAAGCTCGATTGTGGCACCACCACCTGCATATCCGGGAACATCCACGGAGAACACACCCCTTGGCCACCGGCCGAAGCTGCCCACAGCTTCCGGAGCGTGATCTTGCGTTGGACGCGCAATCTCGTGGGAGTCTCAGCCGCTGGCATCGACCTGACGGCCGGTACCGGGACAAAGCATGGGGGCATCACCGGAGATCGCTCAGCCGCTCCTCGGCACATGTTCCCAGCACGCCAGCCGTAGTTCCAAGCGCATCGGGTTCCGGCCTGATTGCCTCGCGATTGTCTTGTTGCGCTTCCTCCGCCCCGGATCAATACAACCGGCCTTGGGTTTTGCCTCATTCTCCAGCCGGAGCGTGACTGTAGAGCACGACATGCAACTCGGAGACGTACTGTGTATTCTGTGGGTTGCATTCATGTAGCGCCTTGATTAGGCCCCTATTCCCGACTATTTCCTCCTGCACGGAGCCGAGCTGTGCTGGCAATGCATCGGCGGCCCGACTAGAGTCACGACACGGCGACGGCGATTCAAACAATCAATCTTCTCTTACACGCCCTTTAGCAGCATTCTAGATAAACAACAATCCAACTGCTCGACTGGCAACGTCAATAGTGGAGCTGCAGCACGGGAATGCCCGGCGCGGCGCCAGGGGAAGAAAGCCTGTCGGCTTGGGCTATTTACGTAACAATAACCCTCTGGGGGGTTCCTCTCGCAGCTCCCTCGCCGCGCCACTCACATGCACACCACACAGCGTCCATGGAGAATGCATGGGGCATGGGGGGTATCCTGGACTGCTGGGCTTGTGTGGTGTGGCATCAACTTTTGGAAAGAGCCGCGATGAAAACAACTGGTCAGTGTGCGACTCAAACTACGTCATTGACGCGCAGAGCAACGTAGTATCTTGACTCTGTCGGCCCAACGCTCCCGGATATCGAAAATCGGAACAGCGGCATATGAAAGTTTACTCTTGTCCCGATGCAGGTAATGGATTCTTCCGCGGGATTTGAGTTGGCTTTCCAGCAGGCGCTTCCCGTTTTGTTTGTTGGTTCGCACCGTTGTTTCATGGACCTCACTGAGTATTAGTTCGAGCCCCCTCGTCGACGGCTCCAATATCCGGAGACATCAGGTTTCAGGTTGGAATACATAATTCCACTCAAACTGATCAGTTTCAACCGTTGGAGTGACTGACATGTGAACTAGCCATATCTGCAATGACTGCCACGTGAAAACGATCCGGTGCGCTAGCTGAGGCGACCAGCGATCCGACAGATGGTGTCACTCAAGATAATTCTTATCCGAGCCCCTCGCAATTACAGTCGACATCAGAGCAACAGCCGAGAGTGTGCGACTAGGCCAATGTCACCCCGGCGGCCCCGGTCCCGTGCAAGCCAACTGGCGCTCCGCTGAGGGAGTGCCGACCCACGGCATCGAGGCCGGCTTGACTGTATGCTCGTTACACCACACTCCATTCTCATATAGGTCCGATGTGCAACTCCGCGGGCATTGCCCAGAGGGCTGTCGGGGAGAGATGTGGTGGAGCGCTTGTCTACGTGAAGAAGGCTGGAGAAGCAACGAGTTGACCCGGGTTTGATGCTCTCACGTCGAATGGCTCAGGACGATTTGTGCAACAAAATCTGGGATGTACGCGTATTTCTAGAAGAGAGTGCTTCAATCTGTAACAGCTACACGGGTTGTGTTCCTAGCGCTGCCAGATAGAGAGGTGGTCGACACGGTCAGCTTCAGTATCTGCCCAGGCACCTAGGTAGGTACGCATCCCACCCATCGCTCCGAGCCCTCCTCTGAGCGGACACCTGCGTTGGGCACAGGCTGCAATCCGTCTGCCCAAGTCGACTTTGCAAAGGGCCAAAACCCTACCACCTAGTGCCCTCGAGCTCCCTTGGGTAAGAGGCTCTGTGGTGTGGCAATCGTGTAGACCGGCGACGGCTTTGTTTTGTCCTGGCCCAATCAACATCCACTAGCAGCTGAAAGTTCACAACCTTCCCCTTTTCCACAAACTCGAACCGCAAGACGGGATACGAGGTTTGTGTACCTGATTGTTATGCAAACCGCTGGCTCCGCCCCTCGGCTGTGAATAAAGGGGTATGGCCGAGATTACACGTTATAAAACAAGGCCCCAGCTCAGGAGAAGAACGCCTTCCTTTGGTGCAAAGCCAGACTCCACAAGCCTCAAGGAGACACGGCTGGAGCACGTGACGACAGCGGGCTACGGGCGGTGACAGCAAGGCGCGCAAATGCAGGGCGCGCACGGGCCCGATTGGACACGCGCTGCTCAGCGGCTCGACGCCCTGCCAAGGATGCAACTTGACCTGACGGGAAGCGGGTGACAGGCCCGTGCATGGCCTCGGGCTGGGGTCGGCTGCCCAAGGCCGCGATTCTGCAGTCGAGAAATGAGCTGGACCTGTCGAGCCCTGCCGTGAGGCTGCCCAGCTGTGCTGCCCAGTCAATTACGTGTACATTGACACGACACTGGCCGCCGTCACGCGCCGTCCTACTGGTTTTTTTCCTCCTTGTTGTTTCTTTTTCTTGCCCATCCCATCCAATTGTGCCTGACGTGCTCGCGCAGGGCTGCACCTGCCTCCTCAATATTAGTCGCGACTGCCGCCCCGCCCACCGACTTTTCGTTTCGTTCACCTACACCATCCAATGCTCGGGCGCAACAGCACCACCACCGCCCTTCCGGCTACTATGCAACTTTTGTCCCATTGATTTCGCCGACCTTCAACCCGCGGCCCCCCCAAGCCGACGCCATGGAGTATTCAGACCCGGACAGGCCTCCCTCGAGGGCCAGCAGCTTGCGGTCCGGCCTCCCGACGCTGAAGTCGCGTTTGTCGCTGGGCTTCGACAAGCGCTTTGACGCGACCAAAAAGCTCTTCTCGTCTAAAAAACAGAATCAGAGCCAGGAAAGCCTCAAGCCAGTCCCCGATTCGCCCATGGGCCGGAGGGAGGTCGTGTCGCCCACCCCGAGCTCGTCATCCTCTAACGGTGGAACCAACTCGAAGGGCTCACGAATTCCTCGCCCGCCCTCGGCCCAAGACTCGGCATCAAGGCCGGGATCCGTCTCGAGGCAGGGCTCCGTCTCCCGACAGGGCTCTGTATCCCGCCAAGGCTCGCTGTCGCGCCAGGGCTCAACCTCGAAACGCGTCTCGTTCAGTGTGTCGGAAGCTCTTAAGTTGGCGCGCGCCGAAGAAGACACGAGCTCGATCCAAGGCTCTCCGAGCCCGGCTCCGCGACAATTGCGAGCCCGCGATGATCCGGACAACAATAGCATCGGGAACCTGATATCCAGGCGTCCTCTCACCTTCATGAGGCGCGTATCGACCAGGCAATCTGTCGGTTCGGTGTCTGACGATGACGCTCTTCTCCCCGCGGGCAACAACGATGAAACGTCGAAACCACACGAGCGCGGGCAGTACGACGACGATCGGGAACGCCTAGAAAGCGTCACCAAGACCAGATTCGGATACTCCGACCAGACCAGGCTTGGAGCAAAGACGGCCGAGAGGAACAGGGAGTTGTCTAGGAAGGCTAGCAACGGTAGCCTGGACGGCCACTCGTCCATTCGGCCTCCACGGGAGTGGGGAGCTCTGGCCACCCAAGACGCCGATTTTATTAGGAGACTGACGGTGTCTCCCGAACCTTCAAGTCTCCGCGGGGGCGTTTTGGACGAGAGCCCACCCCTGACCGACCGTGCGCGAGCCCACAAGGACGTCCCGGTCCCATCGATAGAGAGGGATACTCAGCCTGCAGATCGATCTCCAGATAAAAGCTTCGCTTGGCAGGCTGATGCGGATTTCACCGCCACCGACCTTCAGACTTCGGACAGCCCCATGATTAGGGTCAGCAACCCAAGGAGGAACAAGCTCGACGAGCTCAAGGAATTCCAACCGCGAAACACTAGCATCGAGACGCTTAGGCGACGTGAGCAGGAGGCCTGGCTCAAGTATCCTGACGAAACTTTCAACGTCAAGGATGCGATACCCGAGGAATCGGCCGACGAGGACGACGAAGCCAAGCCAGAAGAATCATGGCAGGTCAACAGCAAGAACCGGTTCCTGGAGCGTAAAAACACAAAGCTTTCCGAGATCCGTGCCCGCGAGATCGAGAACCTGAACAGCAGAGCAGTCGCCACCACCCGCCTCGACGAGATCAGATCTAGAAACTCGGAATCTCGCGAGCTATCGCCCGAGGCTATCAGGAAACCCAGCCGTGAGTCGCTTGCTGAGCCCGTCGTTTTGCCCACGCCTGCCCCCGCTCCTCAGCCAAACCCTGCTGCTGCTCCCGAGCCCGAGCCGGCGCTGGCTCCTGAGCCTGAGTCGGCACATGCCCCTGAACCTAAGGCGGCGCTCGCTCCTGAGTCTGAACCGGAAAAGGTTCACGAGTCTGAACCAGCAAACGCTCCTGAGCCTGGGCTGGTGCATGCCCATGAACCTGAGCTGGTGTTAGTCCCGGAGCCGGAGCCTGGGCCTGAGCCTGAGCCCACCCCGGCTCTTGCCCCTGAGCCTGCACCGGCTCTCGCTCCTGAGCCTGCGTCTGTCTCTTCTCCAGAGTTTGCCCCAGAGTCTGCGCCAGTTCTCGAGCCGGAACCAGAGCCTAAGCCTGATTCTGTGCCGGCTGTTGGTCCGGAGCCTGAACTAGCTGTTGTCTCTGAGCCTGAGCCACTCATTGCCCCTGAACCTGAACCGGCTGTTACCCCTGAGATTAAGCTCTCTGTTGCTCCCGAGGTTGAGCCGGTTCTTGTCTCGGCACAGGCTTCTGCTCCTGAGCCTGAGCCTGAGGTGGAGCCAGCGCCGGGCCTTAGCTCTGAGCTTGAGCCTGCTTCCGTTCCTGAGCTCCCGCCTACTTTTGCTCCCGAGCCCAAGTCTGCTTTTGTTCAGGAGCTTGAGCGGGCTCTTGTGTCTGGACCTGAGCCTGAGCCTGGGCCTGAGCATGCTTTTGTTTTCGAGCCCAAGCCAGCCGTTGCTATTCAGCCCTGGCCGGCCGTCGCTCCTGAGCCCAAGCCTGCTTTTGTTTCCGAGGCAGAGGCAGAGGTTGAGCCTGCGCCGGCTCTAACTCTTGAGCCCGCCCCCGAACCCACTCCCGAATCCGAGCCCGTCACTATCAGTACCGAGAAAAATTCTGACGTGGCAGAAACTCATGCAGAAGCGACCATCCCCGATGTTGGGACCGAGGATCGTGAAGGAGACGAGCAAGTTCATGATGCGAGAGCCGTCACCCTCCGAAGAGCAAGTGCTGGCCAGGCCGCTATGGAGAGCGAGAAGGACCGGGACAGTTTGGATGACTATCGCCGTCGTTCCAAATCACATTCAAGGGACAATTCTAGAGACTTGCTGAGAAGGCTGGCCAGGGCTGCCAGCAAAAGCCCCTCGCCTGAACAGCAGGCGCCCAGGGAATACCTTGACCTCGCGCAAGCTGTAGAGGACCGTGTCGAGCCAGTGTCTCTTGGCGATTTACCTACCCCCCTCGAGGAGAAGAGCAATGTCATGGAGAGGCTGCAGGCATCGGCGCCCCGTGGCCTGATTAACGAAGCTAAGGTCTTCGCCAGTACCAGCCACATACGTCGGGCCTCGATGGGTGGCGATTCGCGGTCTTCGAAACGATCTAGCGCGGTTAACTCCGAGTCGGACCCGACAGATCGAATCACGGCCGAGGCGATGCTGTTCGCTCCTGGGGAGAACCAATCAGAACGGGGATCCATGAGGGCACCTTCCTCGGTGGGCCCCAGCGATAACGACGATGATCTGGGAGAAACCCCACGGCCCGTCAAGCAGGACCCGCTTACCATGCCTACACCTCGAGTCACCGGTGCCTTTGTCGAGACGCCGGCGACGCTCAAGGTCGAGAGGCCCGAGCCGAAGTCCGAGCCTGATGCCCAGACCATCAGGCAGAGGGCGAGGGCGCCGTCTGCCCTCGATGGCTCATCCCTCTTCCGCCACCAAAAACGATCGAGCTTATCGGCGCTTAAGAAGCCAACCGACGAGAATACCGGCCGTTCGACTGGGGTTTCTTCACGCGCGCGTACCAGGTCACTCTCGCGCGTGGGGTCACCCACCAGGTCAACCTCTCGCGTGGGGTCACCGTTGGTCAACTCCTTCAAGCTCCCTAGTGCCAAGGACGACCTCCTCGAGATCCAGCGCAAGCACCAGGGTGACGACGACACTCTTGATAACCTAGACGAGCTATTTGCATCCGAGGCCGCGGACGCCCTCTTGGATGTGGAGCAGAGCCCAGAACCCTCCAGAGGAAGCCCGACCAGAGTCAAGAGGGAGCCGAGTAAGAAGGAGTCGGTCAAGAAGGAGCCAGACCTCGATTGGGAGGCCGAGGAGTTTAGGCGCATGGGCGAGCGACTACAGACAGGTCTGCTCAGCATCCAAACGGCCAAGAAGGGCATCGAGCGGCTCGAGGACCGTATTTCCCAGTCCGAGGCGAAGACGACTCACGAGCACGCTCCCGGTGTGAAGCCGGCCGATTGCGCACTCTGCAAGGGCCATGAGCCAAGGGCGACGGTAACATATGTGCACTTTGCGCTGCCGCGCTTGTTTTACCGCCAGCCCCGGTTCAGGCTCTCGCTTCTCGGCACGTTTCTGTGCCTGCTGCTAGCCTGGCTTTGCGCAGAGTCGACCATGTGCTCGTACTACTGCCGCCCGGAGGCGTGTGGTCCCGGCGAAGACTGTACGTGGTCGCCAGACGACCCCTTTTTTGGCTACTCGCTCCCCGTGAAGCTGGACCAGTGGACCACGGGCGGATCCGGTCGGGTGCTGGTCAACAAGCTGAACGAGGAGGTCGGCGACCTGGCGGCCAACGCTTGGGCCGCCGTCAGGGGCATCGACATTGCCGCCTTGGACACAAGGGCCATGGACTTTGAGCAGCGCCGGCGCCACCGCAGGAGGCTCAGAAAGCGCGGTCTCGTCAAGACGTGGATGCCTCCCGCCGAGCACAAGGCGACGATGGACTCCTGGGCTCAGGCGACCAAGGAGCGGGAGCGCGCCTACGCCATGAGGGATATGGGTTACGACATTGGCGACGGCCTGGGCAGCGAGTCCATGGACGGGGACAGGAAGGTGTCGAGCCGGTAAACGCTGTTCTGCTTTATTCTTGATGACGACTGATCGTTTTGTCTCCTTTTCTCAACTTTTTTTCTTTGTACCTTTTCCCTCTTTGGTCATCTCGTCGTACTCTTGTCTACACTGGTTTGCGCCGCTCTTACTACTCTGGTCTCACTTGACACCCAAGTCGAGAGCTTTGCGTCCAGCAAACACACCAACCCATTCTGTACAGCCCATCGTGGCTAAATAGCTGTGGTTGACGGGCTTGACGAGAGCCAGCCACTTGCATTTTACGACCAACTCATCCAACCAGAGTTCTTCCTAACATACACTCACTGCATATCTCCCCTTCTTCTTCTCCTCGATCTCCCTTTCTTGTTCCCTTCATTCTGTTCTCTTTCTGCTTACTCCTGCTACATATCTTTGTATTCGACATATGATATTGTATTTGCCATTTCACGTCCCAGATCGCGATTGTCTTTACGGCTCTTGTGCCGCCTCCTTCCCCTTGTCGTTGTGTGTTTGGAGCGGAGTGAGGATTCGGCGTCGTTTGGACAGAGGAGATTGAATACGTCACGGGGATATTGATGATGCCAGCATGACAGATTGGTAGCACCTACGTTGTTCACCTTTTGACAAGTAAAATAAAGAGAAAAAAGGGAGGCGCCGGGTGATCCCGGGAGCCTCGCCATGCCTTTTAATGTCTAAAATCATGTGTCGTCATTTTTGGATATGGAAGAAAGTGAAGGTGCCAACCAGGCACCCAAGGCCTCCTGTCGCCGTTATCGTCACCATTTCTCATCCAAGCGCGTCTGTAATCCCACCCCTCAAGCTCTTGCTCAAAATATCACTTTCCTGGCCCGTTTCAGCCAACGAAACTCTTCTCCGTGCGGTCGCTGGCAAAGTGGGCGAGGCGGTGCCGCCCCAGTTGTGGACGCCGGGGGGTGGGTTGTGCCTCAAGGCAGCGCCTGTTTCTTAGCCACGGGCTGCTCCTCGCACCGCGGGGCGTCGTCGGAAGAGGACGCCGACGCCGCCGCCGCCGACGCCGCCGACCCCCCGTCCTGGGCCTTGCGCTTCAGGTCCTTGAGCCGCATGGCCTCGGCGATGCGCCTCTGGTTGGCCTCCCAGGCGATGGGTGCGGCGTCCCGCCACCGCCCGGCCGCGAAGACGGCCGCGTCCTCGACGAGCCAGAGGCCGTCGCGGTCGCGGCGCGGGACGAAGCCGCCGAGGATGTCGTCGTCGTCGTCGCCGCCCTCTTCGTCCAGGACGACGCGGCGCAGCGCGGCGACGAGGGCGCTGCGGCTGCGGCCGCTGCCGTTGTTGTAGCCCGGCAGGCGCTCGCACTCGTCGGCGGGCACGGCGGCCTTGACGGCCTCGACGAGGGCCAGGCGCTGGCGCTCCCTGCGCCACGCCGCTAGCCGCTCGTCGTACTCGAGGGCCGCGGCGGGGAAGCGCGCGAGCAGCTCGGCGCGCACGGCGTCGCGTAGGTCCTCCTTGGTTGCGGCCGTGCTGGCTGTCGAGCCGCCGTTGTCGCCCGACGGCGGCGGCGGTGGCGGTGGCGGTGGCGGTGGTGGAGGGTAGAGCCCGGCGGCGCGGCAGCGAGGGATGAAGTCATCGATCCAGGCGCGGAACAGCGGGCGCACCTTCATGCGGCGCCGGTCGTTGGACTTGAGCGTCTGCCGCGTGTCGCCGTGGGCCGTCGAGCTGGGGCGGCCGTGTGCGTCGAGTTCCCGCAGGAGCTTCTGTCGCTGCGGGCTATCCTGCGCGTCGTTGTCGCCGCCGCCGCCGCCGGGTGGATCTGGCGAGACGTAAAAGAAGCGGCAGCTGGTGACGTAGTCGAAGAGGCCCTCGTACGAAGCGAACGGGCGGTCCCACTGCCCTTCGTCGTCGGGCAGGCCCAGGACGTCGAGGGCGACGTGCGGGTCGTCTGTGAGCAGGACCCGCGCCCTCTTCCTGTCGATCGCCTCGATCTCAGGGATGCGCAACCACAGGGCCGTCTCGTCGGCCGTGAGGCCCAGCGGTCGGATCATGCTGCCGAGTATGCTCCAGATGTCGCCGTGGGCGTGGCGAAAGGCCATCCAACGCAGCCCCGCTTCCGACACGCAGATTTGGACGTCGAGCTGGACGAACGTTTCGTTTTCTTTCTGTGCTTCATCACTGCCGCTGGCATTACCGCCTTCGCTACCGTCGATGAGTCTGGGCCAGGGGAGCGCAAGGTGGGCTGAGCTGTCGTGCAGATTGAGGATCTTGTGCTTTGCGCCGAGTGCGTCTATTATCTGCCCCCACACGGCAGGGACGCCCTCTTCACCAGCAGGCCGAATCTCGGCATTATCAGGGGCGACCTCATCGGCGCTGAGAGCTTGCTCCAACGGGTCGGCGACTAGGATGTCGACGTCACCAAAGTCGGCCTTGGCGGGGCCGTCGACGGGCGTGCAGACGACGCGAAAGAGCTTGCGAAGTGCCGCCTGGGAGCTCTGCACCATGTGATGATAGACGGCGGGCGGCATGCGAGGCGTCTGCAGGCCTCGGGCGGCAAAAATATTGCCACCCATTGTCGGCAGCCTCTACCCCCGGGAATCCTCTTTGGACAAGCCGTGCGGTGGTATGGATGGATATCTGGCGCTGTGGGAGCCAAAGCGATTGTTTTTTTTCTCGAGTGCCTAGTCCACTACGGAGGTTCTCCCTCGACGGGTATAAGAAGGAGTAGTCAAGGTTCGGCAAGTGAATGGTGGTCAGGCCAGGACTCTGGTCGGAAGCTGGTGGTGAATGAAAGGGCCGAAGTCACGGCCGTCAGATATCGTTGGCTGAAGATTGTGTGAGCTAGACGAGACGATTTATATTGCCCGCCTTTATCCAGACGTCGCCCAGAGTTTCCAGTGTGGCATTCTGCAATGGGAAGCGTCCGAACCGTGACAGGCCAAGCAGGATACCGCATATGGCAAACTGGGGAGGCTGCATGGGATCGAGCTGAGTGATTTTCGGGGACAGCCGCGAGGGGCGCAGGGAAGTTGCATATGCCGGCCAACAAAGGCGGCCTACCCGTCCAATGGCAGGGCAGCCACCCTTGCTTCCAAAGGCAATCGGGGGCCAGCCGCCCAGCTTATTATCCAATGTTGGGTTTCCATTGTTGGGTTTGGCTTCTGTGGGTGTCCGCTTTTGCCTCCTCCAAACCCCGGCTCGGAAAATCGCCTTGTTTGCGGTTGACTTTAGGTTGCCGGCTTAGTAACTTGGCGAGTGGCGTGTCTGTTTCTTCCATCCGTTGTGGTACAGAATCAACACCAAGCAGCAGGCAGGCACAACCAGGTCTAGATCGGTCTTTGATCTCCCGTGGGAGCTTTGGCGGGAACCTACCTCACCGGGAAAACCAACTGTTGGGTGGTTTGTCCCGTGCTGGGTGGGACTCACGCTCCATCTAGTAGGGACGATCACTACCAAAAACAAAATCATTTGCGGGAGGGGCTTGTCAAGCCACCTATCCGAAGTTGTGCGGCCCCTGAATCTCTAGGGACTTGCTTCTCTTGCTCCACTTTAGTTCAATCGCAGAATGGGAAACACATACCAAGACAGTACGCAAGGCAGCAAGTGGGAAAGAATCAGCAGGACACATACCAGCTGTCATGGCTTCATGTCCTCTTCGGCAGACAAAGACCAACAGTGTGGTGAGGAGCTTGTTAGAGCTTATTGCGTGGCCACAAATGGCGCATCTGCTCACCCATGTGTATATAGCTTAGCGCTGCGCTTCCACAGAATAGGTAGGTAGTTACTAGGTAGGCACATGGGTGTTTAGGTTGGACATGCGTCCAAGGCGAAGAAACGGCTCATTCCTCCAAAACCAACGCCGTATGTGGCGCTCCAAAAACCATTAATCGAATAGATTCCTGACCTTCGTCTTTCTCCGCCATGTGACAGATACCAGGCCGTTGTCGTCGTCATACCAAGGTTGGTACAATACGCGCAGCATATTTACCAACACATAGTAGTAACATGTCCGAGTGACTCGCAGATTTTTCAGCCAGCCTAGGCCATGGGCCTCCTCGCCGCCCTTACTCCTCTTCGGCTTGTATTAGATCCTTTCCATGAGTGAAAAGAAAGAAACAGACCATCGGCCCACCGGTGTCCCAGAGTGACTATAGCGGGGGAGCAGTTAGGTCCTCATTGTTGATAGGCCGGTCGTGCTGGTGGGTACCCCGATGCCATGCGTATCTGCTGCTGTCTCGTGCCTAATCTGGCAGCAGCAACAGACGGACTCTGCACCCCAGGCGAGAACAAGCCAATGAGCTTCCTGCCGACCGACGGCTCCAGTTCTGTACCATCGCGTGCAATCTTGATTTCCTTGTTGGAGTTCCACGGGTTTCTCAGCCCTCTGGTGCGGTAGAAGGGCAGCCGCGCTGTGCTCACCCACTCCAGGTGAAATGGTTTACCCCAAGCCTTGGTGTCGGCGGGCTCGCCACCAGCGCTCTTGACGTTTATAGGCTGGTATTCCTCGTCTTCGGCGTCCTCACCTGTCTCGGCTTCCCAGAATATCGTCCCTCTCTCCGAGTCATCCATAATGCTGCCCATGGGCATGAACTCGTTCGCTTCCGTCGGGATGGCCTTCGGGAGGCCCACATCGATTACTGACTGCGACTTGGGTCCGAATTCGATAGCTGCGGCAGGATCCTCGTTGATCTGGGACGTCATACGCGCGTATCCGAAATACTCTCCAGATTTGTTGGCCGAGAAAATGAGATAAACCCTTTCTGCCACCTGCGGTTTGCCAAGGCACGAGGGTTAGCCGTGCGCTGTTTCGGTTTAAACTGACTGGTTGCCTCATGAGTTGGAAATTTTGTAGAAAAATAAGGAAAAAGGAAGGATAGGAATATGATGACGATGATGGAGATGATGAAAATGGAGAACAGAGAGAGATATACGACAGCGGAAATGAGTACTCGCCTGGAAAGCATTGTTCAGGGCCTTTTCGTTGTGTGATTGCGTCGCCCAAATACCCGTCTTGATGCTCTGCTCCAAGTCTTCCACAGTCAAGCTCTTCAGGATGAAATATTTGTCCTTTTGAGGTTGCGATGCGTTTCCTGTCGCCGCCGCCGGCCCAGTAGGCTCCGCGGATGCCAAGGGATCCGGGGTCGCCCCAGCAACCTCTGAGAGATCCAGACCGGGTGTAGCCGCAGCCATGGATGGACCGGAAGAGAGCCCATCACCCGTCTTATCCTGAGACGACAGCGACTGGGGAGTGGAGGCCGAAGGGGCAGTGGGAGCGGTGATTCCTGAAGCCCCTTCGACAGTGTTCTTCCGCAGGCGACTCACGAGTCTCACAGACTGGAACTTGGAGTCATGGATCTTCTGTTGTGCCGTCACGCACGCAGGCTCGTCCTTGTAGTTGGCGAAAGCACAGTTGCTCTTGGAGATCAAAAATAGGGATTCGAGGCCCGGCGCCTCCTTGCAGACGTGGTATACGAGGCTCATGAGTTCGGTTTGCGGGGGTAAGTTGCCGATCCAGATGGCGTGACCTTTTGGGGCATTTTGTTAGTATTCTCGGCAAGCACACCACGTGTATGGCGGAGACACGGTCGGACGAGATTTATGGATGGGGACGTGAGAGATGCTCACCACTCTGCCTGGGCTTTCTAGGCGGACCACGGACTACACTGGAGTGAGGATCAGGTTTGGCACCTGTGGGGTTGATTTGGTCAGCCGATATTTTTACTCACTCGTGACACCCTGCGCAGGTATACCGGCGAGCCAACAAGAAGAATGAGGATACTGCGCACCTTCAGGCTGAGCAGGTGGCTGAGAGGCTTTCGTGGCAGTACTCTGCTCTACAGTCCGCTTCTGCGCAATCCGGGCACTGCTATGCTGGGGTCCTGACTGGAGATAGTTCGCAGATGGCATAGGGTTCTGCATCATCGGTGCATGGTTTGCAAATTGGCCCCCGTGGTGATAGTAGTACTGTGGATGGACAGCCTGTTGCGGGTAATAGGCTGCGTTGGCCCGAGCCGGCATACCATCCTGTTGCTGATGCTGGTGCAGATGCTGCTGTTGGTGCTGCTGCCGGTGCTGCTGCTGCTGCTGCTGCTGTGGATGCTGCTGCGGATGCTGCTGGTGTTGAGCCGCTGGGGGTGGTGGTCCGTAGTATGGCTGTATATGGCCGTTTTGATGCATATAGTACGGAGGGCCTGGCGGAGGGCTCATGGGAGTAGGGCCCATATAGGGTGACATGTGCGGCATAGGTTGGGCTCCTGCGCCAGGCGCCGGCGGGCTGAACCGCTGCCCAGGTCGGAAGTTTGCGTGTGGTAGTGAGTGCATCATAGCGGACATGCCGTAGGGACCCGGCTGTCCGCGTCCAGGGCTTTGCGTTTGTGTAGTCATGTCGTACTGGGATGCAAAAGCATGCTGGTGTTGCTGATGCTGATGGTGGTGTGGGTGTGGGTTTCCGTACTGTTGATGTAGAAATTGGGCCGCGAGGGCAGATTCCGAAGCCGGTAGCGAGTATGCCACCTTTCCCTGGACCTCCGCGTGGCGTATATCCGTGGTGGCCGCCGAAAACTCGTCTGCTGGGCCTAGGGTGGGTGTATTATCACTCATTGGCATAGGGGCTGTCTTGTTGGAGAGCTAGTTGGAACAAGGAAAGGGCGAGACGGCAGCAAGGAAAGTGGCGGTGATGTGGCGGCTCCAAGAGTCTAGCGAACGTCCGGGATCGGTCCAGAGAGCGAAATAAAAAGGGCACAGGGGAGGAATGGTGTGAGTTTGGGGGAGGGCTCAAATGAAAGCGCGCGAAATTGCTGTGGGTGCACAAGGGAAGAAGGAGTAAAATAATATACGGCGTCCAAAACCCTTTGGCCGCGTGCACAGGGGGGAATAGCAACGTTTGCGGTTAGGAGCCGGCGCGGCGGTTCCTAGGAACCCGTGGCCTGAGAAGAGCAAGCGTTTCCGGGCAGACCTTCGCCGTGAGGTGGCAGTATACGGCTAGGCGTGGCCGGCTCTGACAGGCTGTGAGTGATGCCAGAGATTAATAATGGGCGAGCGAGGTTTACCTGAAGAACCCCCGGCGGATATCGCCTCTGAGCGGACTGTTGTGTGGGACCCGGGCTTGCGAATTCCCTTTGATCCTCCAGACTCTTTCCTTACGGGTAATCGGCTGACGCCGTCACCCAATCTCGACGCAGAGAACCCTCCGACCAGGGAGGGGGGTTTATGGGGCCTGGCACGGAGGAGTGAAGTGGGCTTTCAAGGGTGGAGGAGCGTGTACCAGCTGGCGCTGGCTGGGTGATGCTAGGTCTAAAGGTGTGTGCTGTCTAGGTTGTTGTGCCGGTGGAGAAGGTGGTTGGATAGCCCTGTGGAAATCGAGTCTCGGGAGACCATGCGGGTTGGACGCAATGTCCCGGGGGATATTGTGGCTGATGCGCAAGCGGTCAACCCCGGAGGATGCTTGTCGCAGGGCGGTGCGGCGTCCCGAGAGATAATAACTGGCTGGCTACCGGCCGCTGTGCACCGAGTCGAATCGGGTTCGCCACAGCGGCTCAGGCCACGTCTTTCTTTTCGTAACTGCTTGTCCGGTTGACCAGGGAAGAGTCTCCCAGAACAACTTCGCACACTAGAAGGCGCGGTTGCTTTCTCGCGTGCCAGGTGCAGCCCGGCAAGTCCCCAATGCCAAGTTTGTAGAGCACCCACTCAGCCAAGGGGGGAAAATGCTAGAGGGCGACGTATATGATGGGTCTGGCACGCGGCCTGCCCGAGGCTAACACCGTATATGATGGCGGGCGGTAGTCGATGTGGCTTGTGAGGAACTAGGCTGACGAGGATGAGCCCCTTGTCCGCGATCAGGGTGGCGACGAAGAGCCACAGAGCCTGCAAGAGGGCAGACCAGGTCTAGTTCTGTACGGCTCGGGGAGACGTAACGAGGGTGGTCTGATTGATGTACACCCGCCCGCGTCCCGGGGCCCTTTTGTGCCCAACAACAGCAAAGGTAACCACCAGCGTCTTGGAGGAGGCGTGTATACTGTATAAGTGGCGAAGCAGGGCGCAGATAAACAAAGGGGAAGGCATGGAGCGTGGAAAGTGACAGGGCTGGGAGCGAGACTACTGCAAGCCGATCAGAGTGCCGAGAGGTGTGTGAAAATCCTTTCCTACTTTTGACGTTCCATGGGTAGGTGGGAAGAAAAAAGACGTCGGAAAACATCGTGGGGCTAGACAGCATGGAGAAGATAGACGAGAGCAGGGGTGGCCCGGGTAGATGCCGGATCATGTCTGCCCTGCCCCGACCCCCTGCTTGCCCTGGCTTCTCTTTGCATGCTAGGTGGCTAGGTAAGGCACGCCGGGGAGAACATGCTGCCACTTGACGTATATAGTATGCACGTATGTGACATTACACGTCGAGCTTGAGTTCGCCATCAGGACCGATGCTTGCCGAGTGCTCTGCCCTTGTGCATGCACGGTAACCGGTTTACTCTTGCCGGCCACCCCTGGCACCTGTCCCGAAAGGTGTGGGATACACACGACTTCCATGGTTTTGCCTTGGTGCGTCGGTGCCTTCCTTGCTTGCGGCTTCGCGTGGAAGGTTCGGTGGTTCCGCTTGGGACCACGGGGGTGGAGGCGGGTCCAGTGTGCAGGGAGCGCAGGCTAGCCAAGGGGGGCGACGTCTGAGAAGGAGGAGGAGGAGAGTGGCATGCGCCCACGCACGCCAATATCCCAGGCAGCCGGTTCGTCCTGGCAGACGGAAGAGGGAGAGTCATGGGAAGGACATGGGCGGTTTGCGCCACGGCCACTCGGCCAACAACAGAACTGGGGAGGCCACTGCGCTGCCCTCGTGCGGGTTTGTGGTGGGTGGCCTAGCTCCAGATCCGAGGGGTCCAAACAGCACAGCGCCGCTATGCGCACACAGCAGCAGCCAGCCCCGCAGGTGCAGGATGGACCCCTGTTGATGCACACGAGGGTGCGGATGGGGCGAGCGTACCTAGCTCTCCAGCACAGCAGCCGCGAGCAGACGGGTGCTGCTGAGCGGTGGGTTGGGGGAAGGGGTGTGCCGAAGGTGCAGTGGGTAGAGGATGGAGGGGTGGGCATAGCGACCAGCCTGCGCACATGGGTTCCTTGGGCACCTTGGTATACGTAGTGGCAGGTAGCTCTCGAAGTCGTGTCAGGTGTTCCTTGTCAACGATGGCCGAGGCAAGAGCCGGTCAATTTGCAGAGCAGTTGGTGAGCATGGTGAGGCAGTGTGGGTAAACGCAGGTCATTCATTTCCGTCTCCAAGCTTTCAAACCACTCGCGGTTTTGCCACCGCCAAAAGGTTAAGCCACCGGGAGGCTTGCACGGCGGGGGAGGGAGCACGGTGTTCTGTCAGCCAGCAAGGGTCGCACATGCTTCCGTTGCGGGTTACAGACAGCCAGACCCACGGTCTCGGTCGGCGCCACACGCATCCATGTCTAGTCGTGCAGTAGCTCGGTGCCTAAGGTGCGAAGCCAGGGTCACCAGCGTACCGGGTACTCCTCCCTCGCGTCCTGCACTGGTGGACACTTGAGTACCAGATACTGCGGGCGACACCCCAAGCAATAGAAGTGGATGGGTGGGAGGGGGAGGTGCCACCTAACGGGCGCCTTCCTGGGGCTACCGACCCAGAGGCCCCAGCTGACCCCCGCACATCCTCGCACAAGACTGACGTCATTGAAGCGGCCATATCTGTCGGGGTGCCTTTTTTGGCGATGGTGGTGTCTTCCCGGTGGTAGCTTCCTTGGAACGCTGCTGATCGCGTCTATCGACAGCCGTGTACTCGCGTTTCCGCGGCGGCCAAGACCTCGCCACGGCCTCCAACATGCAGCGCATGTACATACGTGCCCAAGCCGCTTTCGCCAGAACGCCTAGGGCCGTTCGGATGCTGCCCCCTAGGCACCTGTCAACATTCAGTATCCCTGCGCGTTTCTGGTTGGTTGCTTGGTTATGTGGGAGATTTGCCGCTCTCGACGCCATGCCGGTTTGCGGCGGGTAACTAGAGGTTTGCTGCGGGACTGATTAAACTTTAGCTCGCCGCCAGGGCATCCGAGGAACTCTGTAAGAATACAGTACGAAGGGGACGCGTGAAAGGAGGGGGACACTGGGGCGGGAGAAACAGAGTGCCATGGACCTGACAGCCCCACCGAACTTGGCGGCAACGAGATCTGACGCAGGGCCTCGTTCGATGACGGCCGGGGCATTGATCTTTTCCGCCCTCCTTTTTTTCTCTATTCTTTTTTTTCTTTCTTTTCCTTCCTTACTGCCGCCGATCGAATCAAGCTTGGCTTCCCTTGCCTAGGGCGGGGTGACGACGACCTCCGTCGATCAATCAGGGTTCTGCATGCTTCAGTCATGATGAAATAGTGCCTGCTTTCCTTGCACCAAACTGCCACACCCTTTAACTCGCGAGCCCCCCATTTCAACACCCGCCTGTTGCTGGTGGACATTCCCCCCGGCAGTATAGGTCATGGTTACTGCTCTTAACGGGCGGATACCACGGGACGTTCAAAGCTCCATTCCTGTTTTCATGATCGAATTGCCTGCCGCTCAGCGCAGCAACCTATCTCCAAACAGCGGTCTTGGCATGGATAAGACGGAATAAGGCAGGTCTTGGAGTCGCCGGTGGATATGCGGACGAAGACCTTGGGACATGACATGTGCGTGTGGACGCGATGTGATGCACATTACATCGCCGGTGGACTTACATACGTGCCACCCGTCTCCATCATATCAGGCCGTTGGAGAAGATCCATCGCGAAAAAAAGGGGTCCAACTGTTGTGCATCCGATTTGCCAATCCAAAAAGCATGCCCCCACAGGGGTCCAACGCTGATTTTTTTTATCCCCGCCCTGCCTTCTCGATGTGGTTTTCAGCCTCTATCCCACCCCTCTTTCGCAGGTTGGTCAGGTTCTCTGAAGCTTCGTTCTACGTGTTAGCGCTGCAAAGCGTTCGCCACCTCACTTCCTGAGCATCAATAGCCTTGGACCAAGGGGTTCACCCTTGCATTTCGTGTGAGTTTTTGCTCAGGCCCGGCTAATTCCCGATTACTGATCCGCAACGAAGCATGCTAGGTCGACTGTTGAGCCAGAGTGTGCACACCGCTAAAATAGGTGGCAGGCTGGTAGCCAAGAGGAATAAGGACAAAAGCACACAAAAAGGGGGCGTTCTATGTCTAGGGAGGTGTCCAGGTAGCTTAATGCCGGCGTGTTTTTCTTTTCTTTTCTTTTCTCAGATAGGTATGCACAACGTGCTGCCGGGTAAGCCCAACCCGAGCGCCTTGCCCTCTGCCGTTGACCGGTGCGGTCTTTGCAGCGGTCTCCCAGCCAGTCGTGAGGGACCACGCGCGCCCAACCACCTGCTGGCCGTCGGGCCTTCCCTGCTCGGCCTGCCTGTGGCTTGCCTTGTTCCAAGGCTGTAGCCCCTGCCCGCCTGTCCCGATTCGACTGAAGCGCCGCCGTCGCCGGCGTGCAGGGCGCGGGTCAGCGCCCGCAGCGCGAACATTGGCAAATACCAGTTCCCCACCCTAAGGCACGTCACTGCTCAAACCTCCCATACTATCCCGGACCTTTCTCTCCGGGACCCTGCTTCTTGGCACCTCGCTTCGCCCAAAGCGTGATTGGGTATGCCCTTGTGTGGAATGACATGGCCTTTTTTCTTTTTCTTTTTCTTTTTCGCTTGTTGATTTTTTGCTCTTTCCGATGCGAAAGATCAAAAGAAGTCATTTTATCCCCTGCTCCTCAACAACTGGAAATACCTACCTACCTAGGTAGGTACATCCAAGTACTTGTTGGGCGTGTTGAGGGCCTTATTCTTCGCTGTGCAAGTGCCATCGGCCTGGGTACCACTCAAGCGTGCCTTGTATCCCTTCAAGTACGGTTAACCCAGCCGCTGATCTCGCGTGCGTCAGCCAATAAAAACGCTTGTTTTTTCGGTACTTCTGCGTGCGCCTTATTTAGCCCGTGATAGAAGTACCAGCACAAGTCATTGCTACAAGGCGCACTGCAAAAGTTACGTAGAGCGAGTTCCGACGTGCCCCTGCAAATCCGTACCTCCAAGTCACAACAGCAAACAGGGGTGCCTTTGCCGATTACCTTCCTATCCGGGCGAATTGGGGTTTAACGGCGCTCGAAGGGATAGCGCTCAAGTCCATTACGTATTGCGCTTGTTGGACGCGCTCACCAATCGGCTTAGAGTAGCGCCGAAAGTAGACCTAAAATAAGTGTCTGCCCAGGTTCTCGGAGGCTGGCGTAGGCCCAGCGGGAGGGACAGCTAGCGAGCCACACCACCACAGCCGGGCAATCATACTTCACTTTCCCCTTTTTGGTCTTGGCGAGCTTTTTTTTTCTTGCCCCCCTCCCCACACACACGCAATCGCCACATCTGGGAGAGGGGAGGGGAGGGGATGGGAGAAAAGTCTGGGCCCACGTCGATCGTTTCTTGTTTTGATGCTTGAGAAGTCGCCTCCATGACCACTGGGCCACAGTTGCTGCCCTTGGCGGCTCCTTGCTGAGCGCAAACCGTACCTGTGGCTGTGACGCCTCACAGAAGCCACGCAAGCCTCGGGCGGCATGTCACGTCTGGCTGCTGGATGTGGCAATCGATCATCCGGGACGCATTGAAACGATCATCTGTGAGCTTATGGGAATATCAGCTAGTTGTGTTGGGAAATCAACAAACGTTTGGGTCAACACCCCTCACATTTCGCCACTCTTCTCTCCCACATTTTCCCTCTTTTTTCCCCACTTCTTCTCACTAATTGCTTCTTTAGCACAAGCCCCTTCTTCACTTCTGCCGTGGCGGATATCGTATGGCGGCAGGTGGTAGGTTAATACGTTGATGCGATACGACCTTGACGCTGAATGTCGGCGGTGTATGCACAGGAGCTGCAGGACGATCCTCGTGCCACATGAGGAACCTTGGCATCGAAGCTACATAGGCGTCTTATTGGGCCTTTTGTTGTATTAGCCAAATCAAAAAAAAAAACCCACGCTTTGCTACAATCTCCGCTTTTGTGAAGAGGAGGAGAAACCTGTCAGCCAGGACCCCTGGAGCCCGAGCCCGAGCCCGAGCCTGAGTGCCCGCCGATTTGGGTGTTATTTTTGTCGGCAGGCCGTTTGGGCGCAACGTTTGAGGAAAGCACCGGTGAGCCCGAGGCTTCCCTTGGGCTGTGTTTTGGCGCAACACGAAGAGGCCCGTCGTGATCGGCCCCGACCTGGCAGGACTCTGGGAGGCCGTCGGAACTCCCCCTACCTCGGGACTAGTAGCCAGCAGCCCCTATCCGATGCCCACAGGTGTGTGTGGCAGTTGAGCGTGATGCGGACGCGTTGCCTAGCGTCAATTTGCCACAGCGGCTCCTACCGAGATGAGCGCCAGCGCCGTCTGACTGGGCTAACACAATACGGGTGACGGGACCGACTCTCGGTGCAGCGCCGCGGTGTCTAACTAGGCTGGCGAGAAGACACTAGTAGCTCTTTTCTCTCTCTTCGCAAAGTTTTGGAGAAGGAGGAATGGCAAGGACCGATGAAAGCAATGGAGGGCGCTTGCTTAGTAGCTGCATGAAATCAAACCAAGCGACCTGGAATTAGTAGATAGAGTGGCTGGCCTGGCACGTGCCTGGGTCGAGGTGAGAACCTGCACGGAAGAGCAGAGACTAGGCGTGCTAGGCAGGGCGAGACGGGTGATTGGCACCACTAGGATGCGGAGAGCGAGAGCTCTGGAAGAATCAAGACAGACATCACGATGGCCTGTGCAGGATGAAAAGACTAAGCCGTGATGGGTTGAGACTCTGGAGCAAGTAACTGGCCAATATTGAGTCTTTTCCGCGGTCCCGTCTTCCATCAATCTGTACCTACATCCACAACCAGGTACGGATATGTGGTCCAAAGAAAGTACGCGCTGAAAGCGGTGTCAGGAGGCTTCTACAGTCGCGGGCAGGTTGATGCCACGGCAGGATGGGTAGTGGCTCCTCCCTCTCGCGATCCTCGCCGTAAGTGTTTACTATCCCGATCGTGAACACTCCGCTCACCGATATTTGAACCACTAACGGCGCTCTGCGGCGGTAATTCCGCGGTGGTTATGGCCTGGCGCCTACTAGCCTGCATAGCGCCACTAGCTGGCTGCCCAACCGCACGGCATTGCAGAGCCTTGATCATTGGATTAGTCAAGAATAACTCTGGGGTTGAGCCCCAAGTCAGTCCTGTGGGGGGTCCCAGTGAAGGCTCCCGGCTGCAAAACGTCCCCATACGGGGGTAGCTATTTGCATGTTGCTCTGAGAAGAGTCATAGAGCTCTTGAACCTGTCAAGCACGTAGCCGCATAGTAGGTAACTAGCATAGAGAGAAACATGCACCCGGTCATGCAACTGGTACTCGGACTAACCCAAGGCTCTGTCCCAGTAGTGCTTGATGGCTGTGACATCTGGTAACATAGCGACCGTGGCTGCCTAACTACATATGCCCTAAGTGTCCGGCAGCTAGAACGACACGCATCTGGCCAAAGCTGTCTCAGCTGCGGGCTGGGGATTGGGTTCAACCCCAGCAGTGCTACGGCAATGATCACTACGCAAGTACGTATGCTTTAAAGACATGCAGTTTGCGACGCCAGCTCCCATTCAAAAGCAGAGGCCAGGACACCGAGTCATTGCTGACACTACAGGTGCCTTAGCCCCAGTTTCGTCTACCTTGGCCTGTGAGCACACTATACAGTCGAAGGTTGAACCAGATCGAGTTTCTGATTCCGCCAGGGCTCGCTCACGCTTCCCCCACTTAATCCTGCTTCAGAGGCAAGATAACCTCCTCAATGCCATCCTTGGTGATAATCATCATCTGCAGGCCGTCACCAACCTCGATGTGGCGCTCGACAGCGCCGTCAAAGGCATCCTTGACCAGGATCTCGACCTGATCGCGGGGAAGCGGAACACGCTCGCGCTCCTGCAGGTCATGGCCCTCGCCGCTCCCAGGGATGTACTGGTTCTTGAAGTTGACCTGGTTGTCTAGGAAGGGCATGATGAGGCTGGCGGCGGCACCGCCAGCGCGGCACTGCTCGCGCTCGTAGCTGCCGACGGGGTCGTAGCTGTAGACGGCGCCCTTGCCCTCCTCGTCGAGCCCGGCCAGGATGGCGTGGGTGTAGTAGGGGAAGAAGCGCTTCTGGTACAGGATGGTGGAAAGGCGCTTGGCGCAGGCCTTTGCGCTCATGGGCTTGCCGTGGCGGTAGCGGTACATCTTGCAGATGGCGTCCAGCCTCTCCTTGAGCGCCTCGCCGTCGGCCGCGAAGCCGACCACCGACAGGACGAGGGTTGCGTCCTTCTGGTCCGACGTCGTGCCGCCGATTCTGAACACCTTTGGGTAGAAGCGCGTGTTGATGCTATAGCCCGAAGCCATGCGCGTGTCGCCCGCCATGATGGCGAAGTCGGCGCCGGCGATGGCCAGCGTCGAGCCACCATTGTCGGTGTACCTATGCGGGCGGTGTGTCAGGATGCTTGCGTTGAAGGAGGGGTGGTTTGGGGGCAGGGCATGGCGAGATCATCTCCCGACGAGGCGGGGGAGGCTTACGGGTCGAATCGATGTTGCCGGGTACCATCCAGGTTGTGGGCCCGCGGGGTTTCCGAGAAGGAGTAGTTGGGCCCGTTCATAACGGGGTTCTGGCTGAACATGGCCATGGTGATTTCGGTCCTTCGAGGAGGATGGATGGGGATATCGGAGCGATGCTGAGCGGAGCGGAGCGGAGCCGACGCGAGCTTGTTCGGAGCGGCGGGTAGAGAGCAGAGATGAGGGTGCCCGTGGGTATAGAGCAGGCTGGCAGCAGTCCGCTGGCCGTCAATGTTGCGGGGGCTTGTTTGGTCGGCGGATGGGCGGTAATGGTGGGCTCCGGGACCCGACGTTAAAGGTTGAAGTTGGGTGCGCGTCAAGCTTGCAGCCTTGCACCACAACCAGCAGCCTGTTGATGGCCGCTGCTGGCCCGCAATGCGCTGTCTGTGCTGCGACTGGCGGGGGTAGCAAGGGCAGCTTCAGATGACTCAGCAGGATCTGGGTACTGAGTGGACAACGTTGTGCAGGGATCCGCTGCACAGCGAATCGCGACGGTGACGACTGAGGTTGGCGGCGCATGGGCGTGCAGCGATCAGTGAGTGAGATGGAGATCAATTTAATCCAATGCCAACAACGCGCACCATCGTCGACACCGCCATCTTCGGTCTGGTCATGTCTCTTTGCAATATATAGACCCGCCGTGTGTAGCGTGTAGCCCTGGTAGCTAAAAGAGATCTCTCGAAAGCTTCTCAGCACCACACTCCTTTTTGGTCCCTTTCTCGTCCTGATTTTCTACCCCCTATTTCGCGCCTCCGCCCCGTCTTCTTCGTCTTGCGGTATCGGCGGTGACACGGCTGGGCACAAACCGCTCTGGCAACGTCCCTCCACCACAGCCATGGCGACCGATATCCGGCAGAGAGCCCTCGAGAAGATCGCGGCGCTCTCTGCGCAGAATCCGTCGACAGCCTTCGACAAGTCGGACCTGAACAGGCTGTGCAGGGCGTGCCCAACGCTTACCAGATCCAAGGAAAATGGCTATTCATCGAAACCTGCGCTGGGACGCGTCCCGATGGTGAGCACCCTACAGCGATCCCGCCGGCATCGTCACGGGCACACTTACTGACTGGGACGTCGTCCTCGACTAGACGATTCGCGAATATGAAGTCCTGCTCGCCCTCTGCAAGGCCGCACCCCTGGTCCAGACGGGACAGAGCGCTCTCAAGCTTGCCCGCCAGCTCATCCCCTATCTTCTCGAGTCGCACGCCCAGCTGTTCTCCCAGTCGCCATTCTTCCGCAAGATCGAGCCGTCCCCGACCGAGGCCCTTACCCTCCATGTCACTGCTGCGTTGCTCTCGCTTGGCGCCAACCACGATGGCGTCCAGGAGGCAGTCTCTGACACTATATGGACTTTCACCAATGCGTGCTTCCACGCCACCGAGAGCATCATGCCTAACCGAGGCGATGATGGAGAGGGCAACTTGGACGATGCCATCCGGACTGCGACCATAGCTCTGTCGCTTCTGGGCTTCCTTGATGCAGCCTCTGCCCAGGCCGAGTTTTGGAAGGCGGGTGGTCGCCTGTCTCTGATCCGTCGACTTCGCAAGTTGCTGTCCGAGCCCTTCCTGATCGCGGTCGAGACGGCCTTCTCAACCATCCGTAACTCGCACTCGCACGACCAGGCTGCCAAGGAGTGGAGGCGTCGCATGCGCCAATATGCCGAGGCCCGCCGGCCTCTTGGGGCCATGCTGCTGCAATGTAGCTTTATGCGGCTGCTAGTGGCGACGACGTCTCTGCTGGTGGTCGAGGTCGAGCCGTTGAGGGAGTACCACGTTCTGGATCTCCTCATGTCGGGCGAGGGCTTGCTGCGCCCCATGACGGCTAGGAGCGGCGAGGCCGACTTCCGGTCTGTCGAGGAGTACGCAAACGTTGCCATTGAGCAAATGAACTACTTCGAGGGCAGCGCCGACTTTATCCAGATGGGCTCATCGGCACAGCAGAATATTGCCTTTGGCGCACGGTCCGCTGCCCTCATCAGCTACCTGCTTTGCTCGAGGCTCAACGAGGATGCCGCCGATGTGGATCTGCTCATGTCGTGGCTGGAGGAGAGTCTTGCGGATCTTCTTCAGATGGCTAACGAGCAGCTGGTCTCCACCGCGCTTCGCTGCATGGCTCTGGTGTGCCGCATATCCCCGTCTCTGGCCGCCAACGTCAGCCGGCTGCTGCCGCGCTTCATCGTGCAAAGCGGTGCCAATGAGCGAACGATCGAGATTGCTTCCAAGTCGCTTGCCTTTGTCCTGCGACTGCTGTCTTCAGACGCTGTCATCACCACTTTGTATACCCTAGGAAATGTGTTGAGCCCGGGGAGCGACCATTCGCTTGCAAATGGGGTGAACGGCGATGGCGAGGCGGCTCCGGCCATGTACCAGGGCGGACACTCGACAGGGAGCGCTATATCCCTGCAGCTCACCGGAGAGGAGGAAACTTCGGCAGTGTACGGAAACGTTGTTCAGGCCATCTGCGGTATCGCCATCTCGTGCAACGACGAGAAAATCACCGCTCTTGCCCAGTCGATGATACTGCAGAAGATTGGCAAGATCAACTCGACTGTTGATGCCCAGATTGTGGCCGGGGCTGCGTCCCTGTCACTCAGTGGCGGTCAGCTGGAGTTCCGGTCACTTCTCAAGATGTACACAAGGATCTGCCACGAGGCCGTCGTTGAGCAAAAGGATGTGCTCCTTGCGGCCGTCATGAAGGCCCGCAACCACATCTCGGCCAACCTGCGCCGTGGGTCGCCCCTGTATGACATCTACTGGGACCATCTGATGGACGGCATCGTCACCCAGGGCGACACTAAGGAGTCGGACGTCCAGCTGGCCGCGCGTGAAATCGAGCAGCTGCTCCAGCCGCTTGCAGTATTCATGTCGGCAAACGATCTCGCAGTCGACGCCCACATGGAAGATGAAGGATCTGCGATGCTTCGGGATGCGTGGTTCAACATCGTTGTCCATGGCTTTTCTCCAGCATCCGATCGGGGTAAAAAGTACCTCGACGAGCTGCGCATCATGGCGATTCACTCGCCTCCTCTGGTGGCCGAGCAGCGCGGGGAGATGGTCGAGAGCGATATCGAGCTCAACCCTGTTCTGCGCAGGGGCATGAACAGCGAGCGGGAGTCGCAGCAGAAGAAACACCTCTCGGAGCTGCTCCCCTCAAAGGCCGCCGAGATCCGCAGCCTCAGCTACCGCAAGGTCATCTTCCTTCACGCCGCCTATTTGGTGGAGAGTCTGCGCGCCGAGTCTGGAGACTGCGCAGCCGCGCTGTCATATTTCCTGGAGCCAAGCATGCGCCGTGGCGATGTAAGCAGCATCATGGAGGCCATCACCGGCGCTGTTGTCGAGCGCTATCTTAAGAAGACGCTGAGCGGCACGCATCCCAGCTTCACGGCCCAGTACGCGGCCAAACAGCTGGTCGCCGTCTTCTGCAACTGCTGCCACCGAATCGAGCGAGTCCAGCAGGCCGCCTATTCCTGCGCCGACCGCATCATCAGCCAGGTCCCATCGACCCTATGCTGCCGGTCGTCTCTCTTCGCCCTCCTCGAGCTGCTGTCGCTGATGTGGTCCAGCTGCCTCGAGGCCGAGACGGATCTCTATGAGCCCCGGACGACGTTCAAGTCGGCTCGCGGGCACGTCACAGTCGAGTTGTCAGACGACTATGCCTTCCGACGGAAAACGCTAGACAACTTGTACAAGAGAGCCAAGGGCTGGGTCAGCACCGTCGTCAGCCTCGCGCCGGCTGACGTCAAGGGCCTGCTGCAGACGTACCTGTCCGACTTTGACGATGATGGAGCGTATGGGCACATCTCTCTGGGGCGGTCGTTTGCGCTAGAGCTCGGATCCTGCATCCCAACGACAGACCAGCGCCTCCAGTCGCTCAACAGGATCGGCGACTGCCACATAAACACGGCATCGGACTTTGTCGCCCAGTACACGACTCGCCAGGAGTACCGGTACGCCGAGACGCTGCCGGACCACAGCCTGGAGTGGCTCAGTTTCATGCGCATCGACAGGCGCTCGTCCCTCCTGCCTGTCAGCCCTGACGGTGATAGCAGCGACGCCGTCACGGCGCTCGCCCACATCGAGGCCAGGCTCAACGAGAAGAAGAACACGCCTCTGGGCGATGTTCGCGACATTTTGCGCCGCGCCGCCGCCCTTCTTTGCCGCAGCGAGCGGCCAGAGTGTGCGGTTGCCCACTGCCTCGTCAGCATCCCGTTTGCCATGTTCACAAAGCAGTCCATTAAGCTTGGAGTGTCTCTGTGGCTCGGCGTCATGAATGAGAATCCGATGCTGGAGCCTCGCTTGCTCAACGAGATTGCGCAGCAGTGGGAGCTGAGTCTTCAGAGAAGGCTCGGCCTCTTCAGTCCTGCCATCACCAACCCCGACCCCTTCCTCCTCAAGGAGGAGTTTGCCCCAAGCGACGCTGTCTTCATGGCAAAGCGGAAGCAGCTGGTACACAACCTGCTGTCTCCCCACACGCGGCTGCTCCAGTTCCTCAGCAGTCACTTCAACGCCACCCGTCTCGGCAGCGCCGACACCCAGAGGGTCTTCCTGCGCCTCCTGGACCTCACGCTAGACGCCATCACGTCTTCGACACCTCACCCCATGGCCCGCGACCTCAAGTTCCAGATAATCCTCTACGGCCTGCGCGTTCTGCGCACAAGCACCACCCTCAGTGCCATCGCCCAGTGGCGCCTGAAGGATAAGCTCCTGTCAGCCGCTCTCAGCTGGTTCAACGGCCCGCCCAGCTGGTCATTTGGCAGCAATGTCCTCCAGCTCAGGACCGAGATCAGACTTCTGTCGGATATCATGGGCGCGGTTAAGGCCGTGTCGTTCATAGGTGCCAACGCCGTGGGCAGTATCAAGTCGCTCCAGGCAAGGGAACAGCTGTTGCTGCTGTTGCTGGAGAGCGAACACACCAGGCTCCGGGTCTGGGTATACCCCTTGGGCGAGCCTGCCGCTGCCGCAGCGAATGCGGCAGTGAACTACCCATACAAAGGTGGCATCGAGGTGAGTTGCTTTTGTTCATGTTGCCGGTCTCTCCTATCACGCAGCCACTCGGGCTTGGGCTAATCAAAGAACTACAGAATGCCATTTTCCCGCTCATCCGCACTGCCTGGGAAGAGAACCCGTCGATTGCTGTTGGTCTGGTCTCTAGGTTCCAGAACAACCTCAGGATCCATAAGGAAGTCCGATGGCTACTGCTCAACTTCCCAAGCAAGGCCGTTTCCGACCCTGAGGCCATTGCCGTCTTGTTGGATGGCGGACTGCCTGTAGATGTCACCGTTCAGCTCAAGCATCTGCTCTACTGGGCTCCGGTGGCCCCCATAACGGCCGTGACGTACTTCCTGCCTGCGTTCCAGAACCACCCTCTGATTATGCAGTACGCCATGAGGGCGTTGGAGAGTCACCCTGTTGATGTCACCTTCTTCTACGTCCCCCAGATCGTGCAGACGCTGCGGCACGACGCTCTCGGGTACGTGGAGCGCTACATCCTCGAGACGGCGCAGTTCTCGCAGCTGTTTGCGCACCAGATCATCTGGAACATGAAGGCAAACGCCTACAAGGACGACGACTCGACGATCCCGGACGCTATCAAGCCCACGCTCGACAAGGTCATGACCAAGATGAACGAGAGCTTCAGCACGATAGACCGCGAGTTCTACGAGCGCGAATTCGCCTTCTTCGACGAAGTGACGGGCATCTCGGGCAAGCTCAAGCCGCTCATCAAGCGGTCCAAGGAGGAGAAGAAGCAGAAGATCGAGGAGGAGCTGCGCAACATCAAGGTCGAGGTCGGCGTCTACCTACCTAGCAACCCTGATGGTGTGGTCATTGGCATCGACCGCAAGTCGGGCAAGCCTCTGCAGAGCCACGCCAAGGCGCCTTACATGGCTACCTTCCGCATCAAGCGCAACAAGACGATTGACGCGACGGACAACCTGCTCGAAGAGTCGGCCAAGCCCAACGGATCCATGGCGACGGAGAACACGATCGAGGTCTGGCAGTCTGCCATCTTCAAGGTGGGCGACGACTGCCGGCAGGACGTGCTCGCGCTACAGATGATCGCGGCCTTCAGGGGCATCTTCCACAGTGTAGGGCTCGACGTGTACGTGTTTCCATACCGGGTCACGGCCACGGCGCCCGGGTGCGGCGTCATCGACGTGCTGCCTAACTCCATCAGCCGCGACATGCTGGGCCGCGAGGCGGTTAACGGGCTGTACGAGTACTTCACGTCAAAGTACGGCAATGAGGACTCGCTGCGGTTCCAGCAGGCGCGCAACAACTTTGTCAAGAGCATGGCGGCCTACTCCATCATCTCGTTCCTGCTCCAGTTCAAGGACCGGCACAACGGCAACATCATGGTGGACGACGCGGGCCACATCCTGCACATCGACTTTGGCTTCTGCTTCGACATCGCGCCAGGTGGCATCAAGTTCGAGCGCGCGCCCTTCAAGCTCACGTCGGAGATGATGGCCGTCATGGGCGGCTCGACCGACTCGCAGGCCTTCAAGAGCTTCGAGGAGCTGTGCGTCAAGGCGTTCCTCGCGTCGCGCCAGCACACGGAGAAGCTCTCGCAGATTGTGCTGCTCATGATGGACAGCGGCCTCCCGTGCTTCAAGCCCGAGAGCGTCAAGCACTTCAAGGACCGCTTCGTGCTCGACCGCACCGAGCGCGAGGCGGCCGACTTTGTCAAGGACCTGATCCGCAAGAGCCACGGCAGCTACTCGACCGGCTTCTACGACTCCTTCCAGCTCATGACCAACGGGATCCCGTACTAAGCTAGAGGGCTCTCTTTTTTTGTTCTATACTTCTTTTCCCTCGAGAGTTCTGCGTTTGTCCTACAGCTGCTTGGTTCTTTTTTCCCTCTACTTTTGCACGTCAAACCCATTTAAAGCCTCCTTTCCCCGGTTTATACCCCGCCGTCATAAATGCTCCCACGTTTCAAACTAGTTACTGCCATGTTCTTGGCATGGCCTGTGGCGGACCCCTTCTGGGGTTGAATGGTTGAAATATCCATCTAGATACAATATCATATGCTAATAATGTGCCGTAAACATAAGAGGCAAATATATATGGGGCTGTATCATCACGGCGCCAATTAAGCGTGCTTTGTACATGTGATGACACAGTGGCCGAACCCCATGGATGGAATGCAACCCTTCTCGACGGCGGAGCCAATCCACCTCCCAACGGCCGAGGTGGGCTGCGTGCAGGAAGGAACCGCCAGCGCTCGTCTTCAGGTTGCACACACAGGCAGCGGGGCAGTGCACAGATTCCTTCGCTTCATGCATCCATCGTATGTCATGGGGGGCGGTGCGAGGCTATAGCCTCCTGCAGGAGCAGACATTTCACACTACTTATAAATGGGTTTCATGAACAAAATAGAACGCCGAGCGAGCTACCAAAAAGACTTCTGAATGGGCGGCACCTTCATTGCACAAGAAAAGAAATCCCGATGATCCGGTCTACAGGGCGAGTGAAATCGCCACACAGGCATTATTTGCATGCTGCAGACCTCCATGGTCTGTCAAGCCCCATCTCGACCTTTTCTTTTCTTGCAGCAGGGTGTAGCATCCGAGGTGGACAGACGCGGATGCAGGCCACCTAAGAGTTGTGCTGCTGCTCCATGTGGGTGGGCAGGTTGTACGTGGCGTAGTCGGTGTGCACAAAGGCCCTGTCTACAATTGGCACCGACTCGAGCACGTATTGCAGACTCTCGCTGTGGGGTGGCATCAAAGTAGGTCAGCAGCTAGTTTCGTCGCGGCAGGGAGGCTGGGACAGCATCAAAGCATGGTGACGGGTAGAAAGGTGCGAGAGACGTGGGCGCAAGGGATAGTGGCAACTAACGCTAAATCGTGGCTGTCCTTTAGGGAGGTGCTGGCGTCTAGCACGATATCGACCTAAAAGTTTTCAGAAACGTCAGCGGGATCATGCAAGGGACGTAAAAGCAAAACACAGCCGTAGTCTGGCAGGGTGACCAAGGGCTCTAAATCACATGTTCTTGGTGGTCCTATCTCGTCCTCCGTTTCCTTTGTTTTGTGACGTACCTCGACGTTGAGCTTGTCGCCGGAATGATAAGCCTGAAGACCTTGGATCTGCTTGATGGTCTTGGCGAACCTCATGGTCAAGTAAAGCACTGCGTGTCGGAGAGGCGAGGAAACAGGTTAGGCCGCTGTGTCAGCAATATAGCGCAGGCGAGTGAACGCGTGGGTCAGGCTGCAGTCGGAGGGCTGCCTTACAGATGTTCCTCTGGTCTGCTGACGCAGAGAAGCCACAGAGGTTCTTGATGTGCTCGACAGAGGTCTGGGACCAGTTCACAACCACGACCAAAGACAGCAACAGGCCGCCGAGCGCATCCATCCACCAGATCCCAGCGAAGGAACCAACTAGAGACAAGCGTTCAGTGTTAGAAAGGGATGGGCCAACACTACGGTGCCGAGCATGTGTGTTCGGAAAAATGCCGTGCCAAGTCCATCAGAATCCGAAGAGAGGGAGAAAGTAAGAAGGCGTTAGGATCAATGACGTACTAATGGGGAAGGCAATGGAGCCAGCATTGAAGATCACGTCTGTGCTTGCGTCGGCGGCCCTATTTTAGCGCAGAGTCAGTTGGGAACTTTGGTCCAAGAGCCGGAGCAAACTCAATGCATGAAGATGATGCCACAAAGGAAGCAGGATCAGGGGTGAAAAGAGGCCGGCGAGGGGCGAGCCACGCAGCCGAGGTACTTACAACGCCTGGACACTCGAGTTCTTGACGAGCCTGCACCAGAACCAGCACAGGCCCTTGATAACGACAGTACTGAGCATGATGGAGATTGCCGGGATTCCTCTGCGATCCGAGTCTTGTTAGGTGGTTGCCTCTTGGTTTATCTTCGTCTTAGACTAGCCGGGTTCAGCAGGGACACATACAATTCAATAACTTCGTGGTCCGGAGAGGCGAGGTGCTGGATGGCTTCCATGGAGACCTGACAGAAAGAGGTAATCATGATGACGGAGAAAACAAGGACGCCAAGTGGCTCGAGCCTCCGGCGGCCAACGGGGTACGAGTACTGGTCCTGGTGGCTGATGAGCCAGGTAGTGAGCCAGACAATGACAGTGGACAAAAAGTCGAGGACGGCGTCGACTAAACTGGCGAGAACTGAGACAGAGGGCACAGAGATGATGACTGCGATCTTGCCGGCCAGGAGGAAGGCGTTGGCGGCGAAGTTGACGTAGATAGCCAGGGTGACTATGGGGGCTGAACTGTCCACATTGTCATCCTCGATAAAGGGGATATCGTGCTTTGGAAGAAGCGGCTGCTCCTCATCCGGCTCACGGTCGTCCAAGAGCGGTAGCGGTACCGTCCCTGTGTGGCGATAGATATCCTGGGGCGTCCGCTTCACCTTCTTGGCAGCCGATGCGATCGAGGCGGCGGCCGAGTCGGCCGACATGGAGGCCAGCTGCGTGCTGGTCGACCCTGTGGTCGGGGGAGTTGACGACTCCTCGGAAATGGTTTCGGGGATCTCGACGCCGCGGAAGGCCGAGGCGGGCATGTTGTTGTACTCGTTCAGCAGGTCGTGGGGTAGAGACGAGTCCAGGAGCCGGTCAATGTAGAGATATTGCTGGATGAGATAGTTGGTCCTCTCGTAGTATTCGCGGATGGGTTTCTTCATGGTCTTGAGGTCGGCGCCGGTCTTCCAGTACGATTCCCATTGGTATCGGGGGTTGTTCCTGCCGATGAGGCGCATGGAGCGCATGTGCGGGGTGTTGAGGAGTGCATTCATGCGACGGTCCTCGGCGCGGGCCCGCTGGTCCTCGACATCATCGTCCGAGGCGCGGTCAAAGGCAGCCTCATCGTCATCCCGCCAATGCAACAGCGACGTTGCTGAGCGGTTCTTGATCATGGAGGCCAGCGCCCCCGGACCTCTGGGGGATAGCGGGTATGGGGGGTCATCCTGCATCAAGAGAAAATGCGGCCGCTTGTATGAGGAGGGACCTTCAGCGCCTGGAGACGTCATGCTGGGCGACAGTTGGCTGCTACACGCCAACGATACCAATGTCAGCCACGACGAAGTAGAGCGCTGCCCGATGTGGAAAATCAGGTGCGGCAATAAAGGGATTCGGCGGTAGTGTGTCCCGGGCTGGGCTGCAAGGCTAGCACGCTTGGCTGAAGTGGCTGCCTAGGGTGCTGCGAGCTGGGTACGTCAGAGCCTTGTGACAGGTGCGGTGTCTAGAACCAGCTAGGCAAGCGAACGAAAGATTGAATGAGAAAGGAATGGGCCAAGACAAATAAAGAAAACAAGGAAAGACACGATCTCGATCTAATCTAGGCTGAGATCAGGGCAGGTTTCCTGCTTTTAGAACAGACCCAAAAAGAAGAAAGCCGCAGAGAAGGGTGCGGCTTTCTGAATCAAAACAAAGAAAGAAAGAAAAATCACAACATGGCTAAGCTGACCCTGGATTTCAAAAAAGCCGATCGCTGGATCGGGAACTGGATGGACGATGGACACGGCGCGCAACTGAGGGCTAAAAAGCGCGGGCCGATGGCTTCCCGAAGATAAAACGGTAAGTCGAGCCGACTTGGCGAGGGCAGGCCGGGGTTTGGATGGTGCCATTACGTTGCCAGTAGGCAGCCTGAGTCGCAGTAGCAACAGTTGCAGCAGCTGGAGCCTCGGCCTCCACGTGGGTGGCAGTTGGCTTGATGTTGCAGCGTCTGGTCACTGCGGCCGTTTCTGACTGCAGGTCAGATGCTAGGCTTGATACTGCACGCTCTGTATCAATATCTCAGTGTATCAGTCATAGAAACGGCATCGGATTGATGCCTCTGTGCGGCTGCCGGCCAAGGGGCGTGTTCCTGGGGTGCCTGCCTGTGCGTGGTGCGTGGTGCGTGGTGCGTGCGTGATGTGCGATTCGATGCGCTGAATTCTCCGCGTTACGTTGCTGGGCGAGCTGGAGACCCACCCACCCAGGTAGGTCGTAGGTCACCAGAGGCCGGCACACCGGATTGATTGGACGGATTGACCCGCTGATTGGACCCCATTTGGGTCACAAATAAGCAAAGCAAACGCAAGAGCAAAAGCCAGGGACCTTTGGCTGGGCACCAACAGGAGGTTGACCCCTTTTGATGTCATCCGCCGCCGATGATCTCGCGCTGAACAGGGCGCCCACGTCGCCCAGATGAAAAGCGATACACCAAAAGATCAAAATGTGGGGAACTTGCCCCAAGCACTTTCGCAGCGAAAACATCGGTAGCAAAAGACGACTTCGAAAAATACACATACACAGCAAAATAAATAAAATAAAATAATGCAAAAAATGGCAGCATTTATTTACATATTAAGTTACGTTTTCAATTTTTTTTTTTTTGGAGATCGAATAAGTTGAGAAGGAATGAATGCGCCCGATAAGGTCACTTTTTTGGTGTATGGCTTTTTATTTGGGCGACGTGGCGCCCTGCTAGCCCAGCCCTCCGGTTGGGCAAGCCCCGTCCGCGAGGCAATAGCTCAAGACCGTGCGCCGATCCGAGAGGAGCCAACCAAGCCACAAGATGGATAGATGACGGGATATCTCTCTAATGGTTTGCATCTCGCATGGCCTGCATGCGCGCGCGCTGGGAGCCATGTTCTCTTGAACCGCGATGCCGCGCCCCCCAACTGCTCAAGCAAATAGCTTCTTGCCGGAGAGAGCTGCCTGCCGAGAAGCCCTGCTTGACTCGACCGTGACGGCGTGCAGTTTCCCAGCTCCAACGTCGGGTGCATCGGCCGGCACCAGAAATGTTCAGATGCTGCATCCCAGATGGGCGCCCAGAGGCGGTGCGCGCGCGCAACCAGGGCTGGAGCGAGAAAGGGACAAGCTAGGGCGGCAGCAGGAGAAGCAGGGGTGTGGCGGGGCGCGAGGAGAGCGAGAGAGAACACAGCCGAGCACACCAGTCCGAGTCGAGACCTGTAATCAAACAGTCAACAAGGGAATCTGCAGCCCAGACCAAGCTTCTGGCGAAAAAGTGTGGGCCGCGCTCCACGGTTGGATTTGGGCCGGGCGCGTGCTCCAGCAGCCCCTGCCAGCCATCGGCCGCTCTGCCCAACCAAAACATTGAGCAGTCGAGGTCCGCCCGCTGGCCCGGGTGGGTGGTGGCCAACCCGACGTGAACTCGCCCTTGTTGGCAATAAAAAGCCGGGCTGACAAGAGTGCTCAAAAAAAGGAGCCACATTCATCCACACACAAGCCAGACGCTGGCCACACAGGTGCGAAAAGGGGCGGAGGATGATGGACAACAGCACAAGCTGAAGCACCGCGGCGAGCTGAAGCAGCGGGTCTGGCCGCCTCGTTCCATTGTTTGCCGTCCCCTGAGCACTGCCTCGGGCAGCTTCAGGCAACTTGAGATGGGGACCCAAAGTATAAGGTTTTTGATCCGGTCCGCCGAAACCCGGCGGCGAATGGAATTCGATAAAAAATAAAAATAAAAATAAAAATAAAAAAATGGGCCGCACGGTGCCGCTATATCATCGAGGGACGGTACTTTTCAGGGACTTGCCGCGCCACTGATGCCCGGTCCCCAGCGGACATGAAGGACAAGGCGATCCCAAAAGCCCAAACTGGACGACTGAATGTTCAGTCGTCCGGGGATCACAGAACCCCCCACATCACGGCAGACTTGACAGGAAGGCGACATCGAACGGGTGTGGCACGTGCATCTTCTTGGATCGATGACCAGACTTGTGACTTTCTAGGGGACGGGGGCTTTTCAGTGCCCGGTGCCGTGTTGAGAAACAAGAGAAAAAGTGGGCCTGTTTGTGATATTTTCTATTTTCCTTGGACTGCCTGCTATTACTGTGCATGCCCAGTATTGCATGTCCTCCTGTTTTTCCGCCCACCGCGGGCTATACAAGATTGGTCCGGCCCTCACGTCAGAGTCCCACACCACTCCCAGGAAGGTGGCAGCATCGGGGCGAACACGACGGAGCCTCCGTGCAGTCATACCCTGCCTGGCTCGGGCCAGCGGTTTTAGTGCCAGACATGCCCGCAACCAACCTGCAATCACGTTTGAGCCTCGCAGCGGCACCGAATAGATGGAGGGAGACAATCCCCAGGATCCAGTACCCAGGAAAAAAAAAGACGAGAGAGAGAGAGAGAGAGAACCTGGGACAACGCACCTAGTGCGCGTCCTCGGACCGACAGCGACGCCTTTCCAGTCCACGTCGTCTCGCTGCCGTGGGCCAGGCCGGGATGGATGCGGGGGTTACGAGGGGGTCCGGCGGCGTGTCACCTCAAAATATAACGAGAACGACCCAAGTCCCGAGCCTACTGCAAGCACCATTCCCAATGGGTTCTCCATCTGACGACGCCCACGAGCCTCGGCAGGCTAGACCAGGGTCGAGCTTCCCCAATTAATGCAGCCAAAGGAGCGAATCTGGCAAGGCATGGGGGGGCTGGCGGTCTCGGCAGTCTGTCGCCTGCCTCTGGACTGGATGTCACCATCACGATCCTCGCGAGTCCAACGGGCTGGCAAGGCCCGGCGCTTGCCTGCCATGCCACGGGGCCTGGCCAGGGGAGGGAGGAGCTCAGAGCGACGATCCCGGCCAAGGGGTGGGTTGTCGCCCGTCGGCAAGGGTCAAGGGGCGCGGGCATCGGGAAATCCGCTCCAGCACCATCGCTGGGCGACGCCAGCTGTTGTACTGCGGCCAGCCACTGGCGCACAAAGCCCGGTGCTTGCCACGGCACCACCGCAGCCTGCGCAGCTCGTCCCGGGCATTTATGCGCTGCTTGTTGAACCCATCCCGCCGTGAGCCGGTGACACATGCAGGACAGGGAGGAGTGGGCGCTGTTGTCACTGCAGCAAGTCCCGACTGAGCGTAGCGGGCGTTTGAGCCCGCCCATCCACCCATTCATCCCAACCATCCATCCGTTTCCATCGAGCACGGACAATAAACTGCACTGCACAGTACTTTCACTGTCAGCCCACAGGACGCGGCAACACGAGATTCCTCGCAGTCCGCCTGCCTTGCGCTGTGGAGTGCGGAGGAAGATGGAGTTTACTAGAGAATTTGGTGGGGGCAAAGGGCACAGTTCCAGCGATGGTCGATCAGGGCAATTTGTTTGGTTCCGTTAGGGCCGCAGGCTCCGCTCGTCAGTCTCCAGTGGGCGTGCGGCGGTCCAGCAAAAAGTGGCACGGCGGTTGGATTGGCTCCACGCTGGGAATTAGCAGGCGACAGGGTCCTTTGCGCCGACGTGGAAACAAGAAGTGAAAAAGACCAGCCAACGCGCCATCACAAACAAGAATCAGGTCCAAACCCACAGGGCCAAAGTTATAGCTGGCAAGGAATTCTTCGAGGTGCCTTACCGCCCCTTGGCCGAGCAGCTCGCGTATGCACTTCGCACGTCCTTGCTTGCTGGGTTACTGTTGCCATTCCCGAAACTTGGTGGCGGTGCGGCGCATCTCAACGGGAAAACGGGCGATTGAGTTTGAGAAACAGCTAGGAAGAGCCATCCCGTATCGACTGGCGTCAGCTTCCTAGCCGACTCTTGTCTTGGTGTGAGGCCTGTCCGCCGACTCGGCACAGAGCCCCCGAGCGCAACAGTTGAAAGGGCACACACAGCACCCGTTCACGGTTACCTGTCTTCTCTCTCTGCAGCACACCTGCTTTTTCCCCGGCTCGCAACAAGACCCGCAAGGGGGCAACATCGACCGGACGAACCGCCATAACCGGCTGGTCTCGGCTCGTCTGGTGTCGTTGGTGTTGGATAAAGGCAAAGGGAGAAGGGTGCAAATCTTCACTGGCCCGCGGGAGCAAACGCTATGGATTATATACGACTGATGTGAAATTGCGCAAATTAAACACAACGTCCACGATGGATGGCTGACGGCAGCAAAGCGGGTGGGAGGTGCAGGGGGAGTGGCTCCAGAACGTGGGTTGAGGGCGCGAAAAGCAGGAAAAAAGCTCGGGAAAAAGAAAGCAAGAGACAAATACGAAAAGAAAAAGGGGAGGAACCAGGAAGAGACATACCAATAAACAGAGAAAAAGAATACACAAGAGAAAAAACAAACGGCAATAATTCCTAACCGGGCAGAGGCTCTCTGGCAGCCAGGCCAGAAACGGACTGTGATCTTCCATCCCGCTCCTTCCTGCTGCGCTCACTCGCCTCACATCCCGGTCGTCAACACGGCCCACTCCCGTGGGCAGCATGAAAGACGACCCTGGACCGGTGGAGGCACCCCACCCTCAACTCACCTCACCTGGTCGACTGCGCTGCAGCCCAGGCCTGGTCTTTCTAGCGTGTGCCGCCCATGCCCGCTGCGAAGAACCCTTGCCGCCGTCCTTGGCCCTTGGCCTTCAATATTTACCATTTTATTTTATTACTATTTATTATTATTATTATTTTCTGTTCTCCCTCCCGTTCTCCGTGCCCGGCCTTAGTGCACGTATTTGCAGGCGAGCTTGTGGTCTGGTCCCCGTCCGCGGTCTCGACACAGCACATCAGCACCCAGTCGTTCGTTCATTCTGCATCGCCGGGTCTCTTTTTTTCTTCCCCTCCCCATCCAATCGAGCCTGCCCCGGCTCCATTCTCTCGTTATACCGTTAATACTGTTTGTTGGCACTCATCGTCATTGCCATTGTCATCTTCCATTCTATATACCTTGTATTCTCGGACGACGAGGTTCCAGCCCGGCTTTTGCCCCTTGGTCGTCGCAACAAGCCCAAGCTCCGCGCAACCGCCGCCCTGTTGTTGACCTGTTATCGTCTCAACTCCTCCCTTATTTTTCTCCTTCTACTGTTTCCACTAAGCGTTACTATCCTCTCTCCCTCTCAAGACGAAACATTGAGACGAATCGTGCATTCGCTCTTCGTTCCTCCTAATAATCAGCCTCGCCTCCGTGCAGCTGTTGCATGACCGGCCTGCCCAACCATCAAGGCATTCACCACCGAGCCTGGGCCACGTACGGAAAAATGTGAGTCCAGCGCTGCCTCCGCTTTCCCGGCACACATTTCCTACCCACGCTGCATGCGTATTGTATTGTGCTCGGTTTGTCCACAGTCGTCCTGGAGGAGACAGCAAAGGCAGCCACCGTCCGGGCCTGCTGGATCTGGGAATCGCGCCTCTTGGGAGCACTGTCTTGGAAGAGCCTCGCGCGCACCGCCACTTCTCTGTCGTACGAGGGCACTTTGCATTCCTCCTCCCTTTCGCCCGCCCTCCATTCTATCGACGGACCTTGTGGCAGCCCGTGGTGGACGGGAAGCCACATGTCTGGTGAACGTTGCTAACCTCTTGAGTGCCCACCGGATATGCAGTTGGCCGATCAGTGTTCGCGTCACATCTGTCACCTTGATTCACCTTGACTCAGCTCGCCAGATCCCTCCACGCCATTTCCTGAGCCAACCCGAGATTTCGAGAGAGCAACCCTTTAGCCCGGCCGCCCTCCGTCATACAAGGCCAGTCTGCCGACCGCAGTTGCCTTAGAAATAGGGACTGCAGCCCCCCCTCTCCTACCGCCCACCAGTCCGCAGGCTGTCTCGTCGTGACGAGCGGCCCTGGTCATACAGCTCTTCTATATGCCCAGGTTTCCGGTCTCGTTCGGCAAGCGGAGGTCCACCGCAGACAGTCACGACCATGCACCGGCAGAACCTTCGTTCCGCGTCCTGGAGAGGACAGACGCCAGCAATGTCAAATCCTTCGACGGCGGCAAGAGGATGATGTCGGCCGCCAAGACCTACCAGCCGGTCAAGACGGCTATGTCCGTCGACCTCAGCCCCATGGACGACAACATCTTCCTTGACATGAAGAACAATCGGTGCGTACTGTGCAAAAACAAAAACACCATGCCCATTTTGTCAAGCGAGGCAGGAGTCGCGAGAACTTGCCTGGCCTCCCTGTTCATGACACGAGGCCGTGGGTCGGAAGAGGGACCCCCCTGGTCTTTCAGGCGGGCTGAGACTGCAAATTAGCTCGCCTGTGCTAGCGCCCTGCCGCTGCCCATCGTTGATCCACGGGGGTGCCGCCAGGGGCTGCAACAGTTGTCGCTTGGATTAAATTCAACCAACAGCAATTCGCTAACTTCTTTTCATTCCTCACTCCAGCGGCAGCGGCGTCTCCAACAACACTGCCAAGTCATCCCTAACGGATACCTCCTCACGCCACAGCAACGCTTCTACAGCGCCCTCCTCCACCACCGATCTCACCCCATTGGACGACGCCAAAACCCCCGCCAGGAAGCAGTACGATAACGGATCCGGCATTCCCGCTGTGCCGCCACTGCCGAAGAATTCGCCCAACGGCTTTCTACGAGCTGCCGGTCGTACTTTCTCGTTTGGAGGGTCGAAGAAAAGCTCACCCCCAACTTCTGTGCCTGAAGAGCCCATGCCTAGGCCATTCACCTCTGATGTGTCGACTCCAGAGCGGGTCTCGCCGCTCGGGAGGGCTCGGGCAACCACGTCGTCCACTTCGAGCACGGCCACTCCCCCCAAGCTTGAGGAGGAGTTTGATTTGGGAGGAGACTTCAGCAAGATGCTCAGTTTCGACAAGAGGCAGAGCGTCATGACTCTGAAGGGGGAAAATGCGTCCGATCGTCAGGCTCTAGGCCCTCGCTCGCTGACGGGAAACCGCCTGAACCAACCTGCTCCGCTGCATATCGACAAATCTTCTCGGATTGAGGCCTCTCCGCTTTCGTGGAACAGTCACAACTCTGGCGAGGGGCTCCTTGCCGCGAGCCCAAACCTTGCCGCCCAACCGCGGACGAACGAGAATGTCCCTCCCCCCGTCCCCAAACACACATCGAACAAACTTTCTTCACCGTCAGAGCCTGGCCCCCAGCGTAGGAGTGCCACCTATGGCAATCGGAACTCGGCCGAGGCCGAGGATGAGGACACCTCGCTCCTCACCGACATCTCCGCTGCAAGCAAGTTCTTGTCTACGAACAACACCCCGACCCAGGGTGCAGGTCGTTATCGCCGGAACGAAGACACTCTCGGAATCGGCTTCCGACAGGTCCAGTCCGAGTCTCATCTCTCCAGGCTAGACAGCAAGGACGACGACAACCTCTTTGATACCGGCCTAGCGGCTTCCAGCAGAGCCGCGAGCCGCTACGTCTCCCGGCGCCCGAGCCCCCCGCGCAACAAGGTGATGACGCCTGCTCAGTTTGAGCGGTATCGCCAGGATAAGGAACGCCAAAATTCGCCCCTAGACGAGACGACGCCGAGCAAGGACAACGATGACGAGGAAGACGAGATCAACTACGATGATGATGAGGACGAGGTTGAGAAGTCCAAGGAAGCGGCGAAGCAGAGGAGGAAGCAGGAGGCACACATGGCCGTCTACCGCCAGCAAATGATGAAGGTCACTGGAGAGCCCTCCTCAGGCCACCAGTCCCGTCCCAGCATCGCATTGTCCTTCAGCACCCCGAATCTGTTCAACCCACAAGGCCAGTCCCCTCCAAAGTCGAGCGGGAACTCTGAGAGTGAGGAAGAAGATGAAGAGGTACCACTGGCCATCCTTGCGGCTCATGGGTTCCCTAACAAGAACCGCCCACCGACCCGCCTGAGCGCTATGATGTCGAACCCGAACCTCAGGGCTGCTGCCCAGGCACCGAGTTATCAGCGTCCGGGCTCCGTTGCCGACGGTGCCCACGCACCGCCCGCTCCTCAAGGGGGTGGCGGTGGTGGCGGCAGCGGCGGCCGTCTACCAGTCTTCGCGCGAAACCTTCCCCAGGACCCCTACGTCGGTGCAGGCCTCATCAACCACGCCCCTAGGGAGAGCCTATCCTTTAGTGGAGGGTCTCCGGCCGCCGGAGTGCCACCGGGCGGTCTGGTCGGTGTCATCGCTAGCGAGGAGCGTTCGAGGGCCCTCAGGCGTGGCAGCCCCTCTGTCGATGCCCACAAGCCTATGCTTTCATTCGGTGGCGGAACAGGCGGCTTTGACCCCATGGCCGGAATCCCCCCCAATATGATGTACCCGAGCGCTCACCAGCAAAAGCCGTCCACCGACCAAACTCAGATGCAGATGAACCAGCAGATGACGCAGTTCATGCAGATGCAGATGCAGTTCATGCAAATGCAGATGATGGCGAACCAGGGTGGTGGCAACCGAATGAGCATGGTCATGCCCAACATGTCGATGGGCATGATGGGACCCGGCGGAATGATGGGTATGGGCATGGGAGGACCCGAAACCATGAGGCACTCCTTCATGGATAACGGCTCCGTCTACGACATGCCGATCAGACCCGAGAGCCATATGCGCTCCATGAGCATGGTGCAGCCTAGCTCTGCGTCGTGGATTCAGCCACCACCAAACCCTGGCTACGCTCCCAGCATCCGCATCCAGGGCGCCAACGGATACGCCCCTTCGATCGCTCCCTCGGAGCGGAGCAACATCGGTCTGCCTGGGAGGTACAGGCCGGTTTCGCATATGCCGGCCCCCAAGACCTCTGCATCGCCGTCCTTGCCGTCGCCTCTGGACCACAACAGGATGTCTTCGATGTCGGGAGCTCTTGGAGGCGGGGGCTGGGACCAGAACCGAACAAAGTCCCCCCTTCAGTCCTCTGCAGTCCAGGCTTCCGACGACGAGGACGATGAGGAAGCATGGACCGCCATGAAGCAGAAGCGAGAGAAGAAACGGTCCCTGTGGAAGACTAAGAAGTCTATCGGCGGCGACATAAGCGCCATGATTCGATGATCATATCTCGCACCATCTCAACTGTCGTTTGGCCAACTGGATGTCTTTTTGGTGGGGTATTTTTTCCCCCTCTAGCCACATACTGCTAGAATTTACATGCAAGAGTTTGAAAGAACACCGTAATTTATTCAATTTCTTTTCTCTCGCATGTTATCTCGCCGCGCTTGCTTTTGACAGCTTTTCTGGATTTTTCAAGCTCACCAGGTCGAAAAAGCTTTCTCCATCTTCCTTTTTTGGATTCCACATCCGTACACTCCTTGTACCTATCTTCTTTGCATTTGCTCACACCTCGCTCCTTTTCTTATCACATATTGGCGTTGGCTTTGATGCTTGAAGATAGGATGGGATATATTGGACTGCTTATACAGGAACGACTCATGATAGACAGGCAAACATGACTGCCTCCTATAATATAATACTTGAAGAGCCGGTATAGAGCTTCGTCACGGACAGCGTATATTTCTATCTGATAAATCTAATCCGTCTTGCCCGCGGCCCAACCTTGTCTCCTCACTCCCATCTCGACAGCGGCCAGACCCCAGTCCTCCCCATGATTGTGGCTACCGCTGATGAGTCCAGCCCGAGCCTTGGCCTGGTCGTCGGAGAGTACGGTCAGGACGCCGAAGATGACGGGCACGCCCGTGTCGAGCTGGATGCGCATCAGGCCCTGGGAAACAGATTCGGCGATGTACTCGAAATGCATGGTCTCGCCCTTGATCAGAACACCAATGGCGACTAGGGCGTCAAAGGGCCCCGTCGACGGGCCGCCGGACGCGGGGGCCAGCTGGGTCAGGTCGGTCGTGCTCGAGCCAAGGAGGTCGCCGGCCGACAGGGAGGGGCCGCTACTGGGAGTCTGGAGTTGCGAGGCCGAGTAGAGCCTGGGAAAGAAACAATCGCCGTCGCTGTTAGGAACGTGACTAGGAACCAACCAACCATCCATAGGGCCTGCGGCACGGCTGGTAATGCGTTCTCACACGCACACTCTCTCTCCCTCCTACTCACCTCTGGACCGCAAACGGGAGCTCCCAGGAGCCCGGGACCGACTGCACGACAATGTTGGACTCCTTGACGCCGCAGGCCAGGAGTTTTTCCTTGGTCCCCTTGAGGAGCGGCTCGATGATCTCCTCGTTCCAGCGGGCGTGGACGATGCCGATCCGCAGCGACGAGCCGTCGTGCTGCTGCGGGGTCGGGCCCTTGGTGTGCACCATTTTCGTTGTGGGGGGAGGAGGGGGTTCGCGAGCAAGCTCGGTTTGGTTGATTCGCGATTGAGGAGAGCGACGCGTATGGCCGCTGGGTCAGGCAGGTGGCAGGTATCCAATAGTGGGCGGGCTTATTGGTATTTATGGTTCAATTGGTAGGTGTATGTATTGCACAAGGTGGTGCTTGAAGCTTACAACCACGGGCAGGCGCCTGGAGCAGGAAGCGGGAGCTCATCGCGGGGCTGACTGACACCCGCCGTTCCACACGCCTCGTCATTCCGAAACAGGAGCTTGGCCGAGCAAGGCCGACACCAGGCGGCCTGGGGAGCTGTGCCTGCCGCCCGACGTCACTCACAACTGGAATTTGCGGGCATTTCACCTGCCGTTTGAGGAAATTAGCTCTCACACCACAAGTGGAAACCCCCAGGCACACCCGAGAGCTTCAAGTGGCAGTCACGATCATCCATCCACCTTCCTTGACAGGACCTCAGTCTGGGGGGCTAGCCTAGATTCACGCTATGGCCTGTCACCATGCGTTTCTGGCCGTGAGCCCCTCTTCCGGACGGCACTTCCCCACAGCATCCGGCTCCTTGCGTCTTCAAATACAAACCAGTCTCTCAAGACCGCGAGGATCTGTGGCCTAGCATCCACGGCGGGAGCCTTGCACTGCCTTTCATGCCCACCAAGTCATGCCCATCCTTCCGCTCTCCCAGGACACCGCGCGCCTTCTCCGTGCCCACGTCGTCATAGCCACGCCCCTGTCCATCGTCAAGGAGCTCGTCGACAACGCCATCGACGCGCACGCCTCCGCCGTCGAGGTCCTGATCTCGCCCAACACCGTCGACAGGATCGAGGTCAGGGACAATGGCGGCGGCGTCGGCCCGTCGGACTACGAGGCCCTCGGGCGCCACGGCCACACGAGCAAGCTCGGCGGCGGCCTCGAGGAGCTCAAGGCGCTCGGCGGCAAGTCCCTCGGGTTCAGGGGCGAGGCCATCGCCGCCATGTGCGCCGTGGGCAGGGTGACCGTCACCACCAGGACGGCGGGGGAAAAGATGGCGGCGGTGTTCGAGCTGCTGCCCGCGGGCAAGGGTGCGCTCAAACCTGCGAGGAAGCCGACGTCTGTGGGCACGACGTTGGCTGTCGCCGACGTGTTTGCTCGGTACCCCGTCCGAAGGAAGGCCGCCATCAAGGAGTCGCGAGCAACCTTGATCAAGATCAAGCAGCTCCTCGCGGCATATGCCCTGGTGAGACCTTGTCTCAAGGTATCACTGAAGGAGCTCGGATCGTCATCATCGTCCCCATGGTCATACTCGCCACGGCCTGGCTCGGGAACCAAAGAAGCCGCTTTGAGTCTCTTCGGCCGCGATCTTGCTGCCCAGTGTGTCGAGAGCTCTTCATTGACCCCGTTCACTCATGTGTGTTCCGAAAATGCGATGGAAGAAATTGTCAGAATCGAGGCGCTCATCCCCGGACCCAACGCCGATCTAGCCAAGATATCGAAAGGAAGTTTCCTCGCTGTGGATTCTCGTCCGGTATCGTCAGCTCGAGGCACATTCAAGAAAATCGTTTCTAGCTTCAAAAGACACCTGCGCCACTGCACTGACATGACCAGCAACACTGCGCTAAAGGACCCTTTTATTGCTCTAAACATTCTGTGTCCCACTGGAAGTTATGATGTGAATCTCGAGCCAGCAAAGGACGATGTGCTATTCGTTGATGAACAAGCCATTCTCAGGGCCTGCGAGATGATATTTGAAAGAGCTTACAAAGCACGTGAGCCGGTGGGAGATCGACAGGGCCTCGCTGGCCGTGGTGGGAGAGAAACCCGTGATGAAGTCGATCTGTGCTCGAGTGAGGCCTTTGAGCGCGCCCAGACATCTACAAGCAAGGGGCTTCACTCTGGTGCAGATCGATCAGAGACAGAGGACGACCCAACGCCTGACAAGCGCCACAGAAAAACTATCATTACAACTGCAAGTGAATCGTATTATATTCTTATCCTGACGTTCCCACACCCTACTAACAACCCCCCAGGCCAGTGACCCAGGTGACCGTGGACGGCCCCAGTCAATAGCCGATTCTTCGGAGCGCTCCAGGGACAGTGTGGCCCCATCTACCCTGCAACTGGTAGCGCGAAGGGCACTGAACTGGGCCGTCAACATGGACGCCGATGAAATAAACGAGGATGACTCACCCGCCAAGGAGACTGGCAGCAGTACACCACCGACGGAAGATGACGAGGCTTCGCAATATCTTGAAGGTGTCAACCCTTGGATGTTGGCGAAAATGAATGCAGCGACGAGGCGGCCTCATCCATCTGCCCCAGTCGTATCAGGTTCACACCCGTCGGCTCGTTTGGGCCCGCCCCCTACACCAATCGCCAGGGATATCCCCCGGGAAGAGTCTCTGGAGGATGAGGACATATCGCCAGATGATTCAGTCTCTGTGGTTCAAGACCTAGCTGTCCCCGGCTCACGACACCCCTTCGGACCTCGCACTGTTCAGACGCAAGCACCGGTCCCCGGGGGACCATTCCGAGCTCCTTTGCCAAGAGGAGGGCGTCAACAGCAACCTCAAAGAAGCAGCACTCAACAAGTCGACACGAGCAGCGCACTTTGGATGCCGACGCAATCCCAGGCCGAAACCAGAGCTCGTGCGCGGGTGGCTGCCCGCCATGGACAGGGGAAGAGTACAGGGGCTCGGGGTAGCTTGCAACAGATAAGGCTTCCAAGCTGGAATCCCGCGCGTCCGTCAAGGGCCCGCGAACAAGGAGGTACGACCTCCGCAGCACCTTCAAGCTCTCCTTCAACTCGGAGAGATGAAGCAGCGGCAGACCGCGAGCTTCTTGAGAGTACGAGAATGGGGCTGCCAAGACCGCCGAGCCTGCCCAGACGGGAAAATCGTCGAAACACTACGCCATTACCATCGTTTACTTCGGCATGGACGGTGCTGAACAAGATCGCACACCGCGAAGCCGACACGCCGGTTGCTTCCAATCGGACGAAAGATGGCAGGAAATGTCACGCACACGCAAGGGAGCAACCCCCAATGGTTGCTCAGAGGAGCGAGCTTGACGGACCTCCAGCACATCTAGATACACTCGATGACAACGGGTTTCTGGAACTGCCGACCAAGGACACCCTCGGGCTCGTGATGTGGGCCGACACCGGTTCACTCGAGCACTTGTCTCAGGGATGCCGGCTGTCAAACGTTGATAACTACATGCTGACAGGGACCATCCAGTACGGGTTGAGAATCATCGATGCTGTCTCCAAGGCGCGCATCGAGAAGTTTCTGCGTCACCAGCTCGCTGACACCCACGGAAGTGAGAGAATCGCCGGTTGCAATGTCAAGGTTAACCTCGGCGAGGCAATGACATGATGGCTGCACAAAGTTAGTGACGTATACAATAGTTTCGGAGATGGTTGGTTGGTAATATTGTTGCCTCCTATGACGGGTCGATTTGCTTGGACTATAACTTCATTTGTGGCTGCTGATGAGCCGGTTGCTATACATGTGATGTTCAATCCACGCATGGTCCATAATTGCGTATATGTACTTTATCTACTTGCCTACCTACCTACCTTCCCACATAGGGAGACGCGAGGAAGCGAATGTTGCAGACGTCAGTGAGCTATAAATGCATGTGCCGGAACGGATATAGGTCGAACGTGTCATGGCGTTACATCCGTGGAATTCTTGGCCCTGGAAGGCGGTCACAGCCTGAAGATACAAAAGTTCCGGGGGACTAGACGCCGGATTCGACCGGGCCAGCCTCGAGCAAAGTGATTTGCCCGCCGTTGTGACGTTCCGAGGTGGTGGTGGTGTGGTGTGAGGTGTGCTTGTTTATGCAGCGCTGACGGCTTGTTTGGCTGGCAATCGAGGACGCTTCCCCCCTTTGGCCCTTTGAAACACCGCCCCCGAGAGTGGGAAAGCATGCAGCACGTAAACAAACTCGTATTTTTCGCACATGATTCGCGCCAGGGCTGGGCTGAGTCGGCTGTTCGTGTTAGGCGAGCGAGTCCACCCACCGCGATCGGCGCGGGTGTTAAGAAGAAAGGCGGTTGGGCGGTGGTGCAGTTTAATGGTTCTCGGTTTACGACACAGCATGATATCACCAAGTCCGAGCGGGTTCCGTTTCCTGCCGCAGCCAAGGTTGCTTGCGAAACGCGAAACGGCTGTATCGCATGGGGATTTCCGCCCGAGTTTCTTGTCCCATTTCCTTCATTTTTTCCTTTCCATATTTGGCGATGATACTGGAGTCGGCATATGGTATTGCACCCTTCCAACCATAGCGTAGCTGGCTCGGGCGCTAGCAATCGGTATTCTCTCCTGCTGTGCTGTTTTCGAGAGGATACGCGGTCTATTAGAACCCAAAGTTAACCGCGGATAATTCCCCTGGATGTCAACTCGAATGGGCACGACAAGAGACGTGCTGTGTCGCCTTCATCGGCCCAGAACTGTTGCCGCCTGTGGGCACAGATGATGGCGAATGTGGAGCGGGCATCAGCCTCAGGCGGCTTCCCGGGCTGGCCAGGCGACCCGCCCTAAACCCCGGCGTTTCTTTAATTGGATGCGAGAAGCTCGTATTCTGCCAAGGACTTCCCTTGCCAACCTATCGTAGGAAAGGGATGTGACCAAAAGAACAAAAAAAAAAAAAAAAAAAAGACAGACCAACGAGGCGACAAGATTCATTCGCTCCGCTGACACCCATGTGCCTGCTGTCCAACCGCTGCGTAACCCATGCGTGAAAGGCAATAGTCACGACAGCATTGCAACCAGGCCGACGAGGGAACTGGGCTTAGCTTGGGATGTGCTGGAACGTGTTGTGTTAACAATTCGTGGCCGAGCTGCGGATTGTCCGTCTGTTTAAGGATTTAGGATGAGACGAGGAGAGAACAAGATCCCCAGGTGGGGTTCGTCATCAGTTTGGATTATGCGCCGTTCAGGTTCCTGGGCCCCCAAATCATGTTTAAGCCATGGAAATGGCACTCTAATGCGCTGTCTGAGAGATAGGAACAAAAGGATCGGTGAGACGGGAGCCCAGCCACCGGGGATCGCTCCACGTTGCTTGGGATGCCATGTGGAGCGTTTCCATGGCCGGCTATGACAGTCGACGCTGGTGAAGAGCCGGGAACTGGGGCTGTGCTGGAACCGCATATTCTGCAGTACATGCAATACCGTTCTGTGACAACTGGCACAGATGGCTGTCGTTGGCCAGGTTAGGTCCGATGTCGATGGACAGGTCCAGCACGGTTCCCAGGGAGGCAGTTGCAGTCTGGTGGTTCTTGGCCAAATAGAGACGGAATCCTCCAACCGATGTGTTGGTAAAAGGTGACGAGGACCCACTCTGTAGGCTGCAGAAAGGACCGGGTTGGCAGCGGGTGTGGATTGGCAGAAAAAGCAGGAGCGTCCAGCCCAGTGCGGAGATTGAACAGGGCTGTGCCGTGCTGAGGCGTGCCGTGGATCCTCTGCTTGCGGTGGGCAAAAAGCTCGCGCGCTCCATCCTCTGATTAACCTCCGCATTCCCACTTTCACCCGCCGGCCAGAGAGGTGACTTGCGTAATCGCGCCTTGACCACTACCAGGCCCGCCCACGACCTGATGAACTTGAGAACAGGACTGAACAGATCAGAAAGGACACAACCTACATCCTCAACGTCGGCCACCTACTGTTGGTGGACGACTGTTGTGTCCTCACCTTCAGGCAGCGAAACTTGCCCAAGGATCGCCTAGCTCCGCATCGCTAACGAAGTGCAAGGCGCCACCCTTTTGGCGCCCCTAAGCGCACGTCATAGGGTGATTTCTGCTAGGAGAGCAGACACCCGACACCCACCAGCGTCGCTGAGGGCGATTGGAACACCACCAAAACGGCCCCCCCTGGCCTTCTTTCGACACCATCACCGTTTGTTTGTTCCTTGTTTGTTTTTGTTCCTTTTTTTTTTCTCTGCTTTTGATCTTGCGCCCCATCGAAACCGGCCCGCGCGGAAAATCGAACCACGACGAGTCGACCCCAAAATGGTCGTGATTTAGATGCACACCAACCTTCCGAAAGGCGTGCTGCCGGTCCGCACCTTGACCATGCACGTCGTCGATCGACCGCCCTGCTCCCCAGGCCTGCCGCCGAGCCCCCTGCCCGGCCACAGACACCCGACTGCGAGCACGCGCCCGACTTTCTTGCACAGGAAAGAGGTGGCAATGGCACGGGAGGAACTGAGCGCCGCCTGCGGCAACGGACGGAGGGAAACCGAATGGGGCGCTCGTGGAACAGCATCTGGGTGGGATGGGAGTGGGTGCCGATCATTCGAATCCTTCGACGACAACCGCGGCGACAACGGCTGCAGCGACGACTTCGATGCCGTGTCCCGACCGAGCCGCCGAACAAGCTGGCCGCCGCTGGCCCGCAAGGCCCGACCGCCGCTGACACGATCGATACTCTGTGGACTCGGGAGGTTCTCGTCGGCTAGCCTCAATATGGTGTTTCTCATACTCCTCGCCGCGATCCTGCGCCCATGCGCGGCCGTCCTGATTCCCTTCGAGAACTGCTTGCCCAAATACTACGTTGATAACAAGCCGACGGCCCTGCAATGGCTCCCCAAGTTTGTCGACGCAACCCTCAATGTCACCAACGACATCCAGAGTCTCAAGGTCACCATGTGGGGGAACGTCGCCGGCTCACGGCGTGACCAGCCACTTCCTCCCGCCAGCAATATTACGTATTGGAATGATCCCAAGCAGACCACCGGGAAGATCCAACAAATCCCAAACTCCAATCCTCCGCGGATCTCCACGACCTTGAACTCCAAGATAAACGTCCTGACGTATGAGCCGTGGAGTGGCAACTTCGACTTCTGTGAAAACTTGTCTAAGCCCCATACCTGTCCCCTTGGACCGGTGTTCAATTTCAACACCACATCGTGCGTCCCCTCTTCTCGCCTCACTCTTACCCCCTCTAGCCTCAACGCTAACTTCCGGCGCCCGGTCTGCAGTCCCCGGGATATTCTGCCCTCCGTCTCCATGGCCAACAATTTCACAACGTCGTACGCCTTCACGTCGTGGTCGGCGACATTCCTGATCAAGTACACCGACAGCGAGGTAGTAAACATAGGCTGCGTGTCGGCGACCATAACTCCTGACCTGGGAAGTTATGTTCCGCTTCTCAAGTTCCTTCCAATGGGAATTCTTGCCTTTGTCGGCTTCGCCACCATCTTTGCGGCTACATTCAGTCCCTGGGGCACCACCGACGTTTTCCGGTGGAGCTCCAACTACGGCCGCGATCACGACCTTCTCCGCCTGGTGACACCGGGCTTTGGTGACTGCCTTCAGTACATTCAGTTTGTCGCACTCACCGGAGGCCTTTCGCTCCATTATCCTGGTTTCTACCAGCCAGTTGTGAGCCAGCTGTCCTGGTCTGCTTTGATGTTCAACCAATCCTTTGTTACCAAGGAGCCGGGGTACCAGAGCTTGCGGGATGGAATCTACGTCACAGATGGCGCCGTCACCGAGTCGTACGGCCTTCATGGCCTAGCGCAACTGACGGGCATGGGCAACATGTCAGATATATGGGCTGGGATGATGGTTTGGCTGTTGGCCATCATCGCCGTTGTCGTCACTGGCGTCCAGATCGGATTCGCGGTGCGCTGGATATACCGCAAGATCAAGAACATCGCAGAGGAAGACCTCCGGGCCAAGGGTCTTCCTTTCACAGTCGGCAACGTGGTCAGGATCGTTTTCAACTACTTCCTGCTACCCATCGTCGCCCTTTCGACGTTCCAGCTTGTCGTCACCCCCGTCTCGCCACCGTACCCCGTCGTCCTCGCCGTGCTCACGCTGGTCCTTATCATGGGATTTGCAGCTTGGCTACTCTATCTCATAATCACCATCAAGCCCCGCGCCTTCCTCTTCGATGACCTGCCGACGCTTCTCCTCTACGGGCCGCTTTACAACACATACTCGGATGAGGCCGCCACTTTCACCCTCATCCCTCTCTTTCTGACCTTCATTCGTGGTATCGCTGTTGGCGCTGTACAGCCTGTCGGCATTGTCCAAATCGTCATGCTGGCCATCTGCGAGGTGGTGCAGATCATCACCATTCACTCTATCAGGCCGTTTCATAGCCCGACCTCGATGAACGCCTATCACACCATCTTTGCCACGTTCAGGCTAGTGTCGGTCATTCTGATGATTGCCTTTGTGCCGTCGCTCGGCGTCACCGAGGGGCCCAGGGGGTGGATTGGATATGCCATTTTGATGATTCATGCGTGCGTCATGGGATTCGGGTTCTTTCTGAACGCTCTCCAGACCACGCTCGAGGTCGCAGCCCGCTTGTCGGGGGCTGGCGGTGACAGCGCCAGAGGGCTCACGAGAGGAGGGCTCTCCAAGATTTTTGGGATGCGACAGCTGCAGCGGAGAGAAGGGCCCTCTAGGAGCAGCCAGCTCTCTACTGCGGGTATGTTGGATCAAGAGGAGTCTCAAAAGACGGGGTATATCATGCCGGGCGGACGGCTTAGGAGCGAATCTGCCGGGAGTGGTGCGCTGCTGAGCCGCGGCCAGCGCAGCTCGTCTGCTCTCGACAACCACAGCGTCGATGCCGCATTCGCCCAGGTCCGTCAATTCGATGGCGCCAGCTCCTTCACCTTCACACCGACAACACCTGGTGAAGCCAGCACCTTCTCCTTCCTGCCATCTCCTGCAGGGCAAACTCGACACCCGCTAGCCCCTGCTGCCGGTCTCGAGGCGGCGGCGGATCCGTACTATCGACCACCGAGGAGGCGAGGAGCGACGCTCATACAGGGCAACATGACGCCTCCTCGAGAGAGGAACAGGGGGTCTTGGGCGGGAAGTGGTGACATGTCGCAGCGGAGATTTAGCCAGGGTCCCCTAGCTGACCCAGCCGACGCGGACGCGCAAATATCTCGAGGCCCGACCCCGGCGCCGGGGACGGCACCGGGGAACTACTCGCAACCAACTATCAGCTTCGCACCTAGGACGGATTACTCGACGCGAGAAGTCGACTTCTACTACGGGGTGCGTGGCCAGAGGCTCAATTCGGATGCGCCAAGTCGGAAGCTGGGCACCGGTCCCGCTGATCCCACGTCTCCCATGTCATCCGCGGCCGGTTGGTTCCGTAACATAATAGGTGGCAAGACGAAAGAGAAGGGCAAGGGGTTCGAGGTGGTGAGGAGTTCCAGGATGCCCCCAGCGATGAAGGCCAGAGGCGGCGACATTACGGACGATGCTGCACCGCAAGGCATCCCCGTGGCTATGAGCATGTTGCGCAACGGGCCGATAGAATCCGACGACGAGGACGAGGGTAAGAGAAAGAAGAGCAGGGCGGGACGTTCGCAGGGCGAGCCGGGGGAAGCTCGGCTCCTGGACGAAGACGGGAACCCAAAGGTCGATAATGCCGATGATGCGGAAGTCCCGAAAATCTCCGAGAACCCTCCCATGCTTCCCAGCATAGAGTCCGCCGGGGACATACAACTCCCCAGTCGGGTGCAGTCCAAGGCCAGCAGAGTCGGAAAGGTGCCTCCGCCGCCATTAGACTTGAGCCTCTTGGACGAGAAGGGAACCATGGTGATACCGCCGGCCATCCCAAGAAAGAGCTCGAGAAGGGACTCGACTGGTGGGCACAGCCGAGAATCGTCACTGAATGCTCTCAACCGCCTCTCGATGGCACATACAGCAGCCACGGCTCTCTCGGAGCAAGAGGGTCATCACCTAGCTCCGACCGTATCTGCGACGCCATCTAGGCTTCCTTTCGAGCGGAACAACTCGCAGAAGCGACTCTCGTCCGGGTCCTCCCTTGGGCCGTCGACTTCGGAGTTCAGTAACGGAGACCCCGACTCGTCAAGACCCAGCCAGGAAGAGCGTACGACGATGTACGGGTATGTGTCGCAGGGCAGTGTTAACCGCATTGACCCGCAGCACCCGCAGCAGCTGAACCTCGTGGGAAGCTCAGCCGAGGTTGTTGATGAGAGGCGGTAGCGCGCCTGTCTTTGTTGGCACTCTTTGCCACATTTCCCCAAACCGGGGCACACACTTTACACTTGTGATTTATTTTGCTTCTAGCGACGGCGTACAAGATGCTAAAACCCACCCAACCATTTCACAGAATCGGACATGTTTGGTCGGCGGTGGTCCTTGTTGATTTTGTCTTTTTCGCCATGATCCTTTCTTTTTCTCTCCGTCAATACTGTGCTTTCCACAAGACTTCTTTGTCCATTGAACAGCGTATTGTTGCATTTTTGGGTTACAGCCCTCGGGGGACGAACATTTTACTTGTGGTAATATTCATGGGACTTCAAAAGGCGGCGAGAGGAACACATACACGGAAATAATACTAGAAGGTACACAGGCGTGCAAATACGGGCTCTTTACTCGTTCCATTTAGATGCTGGTACTCGTGGAAACCGTTCCACATGTTCTTCGATCCTGCCACTGGATTGTTTCGCGGCCCAGATAGCTCGAGCAATCATTCTTCAGAGCACCATACGTATCACAAATGATTACGCAATTGATGGACTTCCTTCCATCTTCAAGGTTGTTAAATCTGTTGTTCCTAGATTGCGGGGCAAAGTATGGACGGATTGTTGATCGGCAGGGTGATTCTCGTTTGGGCAAATGAACTTTGGAAGCACGTTACTTTCAACAAATAGCAAAGAAAAAAACAAAAAAGAGAAACTAGAAGCAAAAGTTAATGTCATTAGCCTAGCCGGAAACAAATTTCCACTCGAATAATAGCCAAACCCCCCGCGGGCATAAGAACGCGTTGAACCTATAAGTTGAATCTTGGAGTTGACTCACCCCACGTGTGCTTGGTGAGGTCAGGCCCCACAATATGGGATAAGATAAGAAGAAAAAAAAGAAAGAAAAAGGTTATTAAATGCCTATTATAGAAACCACCACACCTGCAGTCGTGGAAAACACATCAAGTAAAGAGGAAAGAAATCGTTTACTTGAGTCGACGGTACGAAAGTACACCGGCTTTGCTGCTCATACACGCAAGCTTCCCCGAACCAGGCGGCTAAGTCAAATCCTGTGGACCAACCCCTCGTGGGGGAATATATCTAGCGGCGCTAAGTAGCCGTGTGCAGCACATCAACTCTCAGGGAGAGAGCGGGCAAAAACTCGCCTATCAAGCGGGCGAAATGGCGCCGACCAGGCCTCACAGCAAAAATGCCAAGTCCAAGGCGGCACGGCGCATCAAGAAGCAGCAGCAGCAGCAGTCCTCCAGGTCGCCCAGGCAGCTGCTCGCCGACGCCACGGCCAGCCTGGAGCAGGGCGACGCGGCGGCGGCGGCGGCGGCGGCAGCAGCAGCCCTCGGGGTCGTAGAGGAGGGCGGCAGCGACGCGTCCCAGCAGCAGGCGCAGCTGGCGGCGGCGGCGCTGACGCTGCTGGGCGAGATCCACCTCGAGCTCGGCGACCCGGACAGCGCGCGCGCCTTCTTCATGCGCGCCGTCGAAACGGACGGAGGGGAGGAAGGGGTCGGCGGTGGCGACGACGAGGTCGAGGCGCTGCTGCTGCTGGCGGGGGGCGGCGGGGCGGCGGCCGTCAACAGGGCCGAAAAGTTCCTGTGGCTGGCGCAGCTGAGCGAGGACGGCGGCGCCGACTCGGTCAAGTGGTACGAGAGGGGCGCGGGCGTGCTGCGGGCGCAGCTCGCGCAGCTGGACGACAAGGTGGCGCGGGAGGGACCAACCCCATCATCATCAACAGCAGCAACAGCAACAGCAACAACAACAAAAGCAGAACAGTCGCAGCCCGGACAGAGGCGACGCGAGCTGCTGGACGAGGCGAGGCGCGACGTGGGCAGGCGGCTGGCGAGCGCGCTGTGCGCCGTGGCCGAGGTGTACATGACGGACCTGTCATGGGAGGCAGACGCGGAGCAGCGGTGCGAGGCGCTCGTGACCGAGGCCACGCTGCTGGCGCCCGACTTCCCCGACGCGTGGCAGACGGTCGCGAGCGTGCGCATCTCGCAGGGCCGCGCCGACGACGCGCGCGCCGCGCTGCGCCGCAGCATGGAGCCCTGGGCCGCCGCGCTGCTGGTCGATGATGACGAGGAGGAGGAGGAGGAGGAGGAGGAGGAGGAGAAGGTGGTAGCGGCAGCAGCAGCAGCAGCAGCAGCAACGAAAGGAGACAAGGCGGCGCCGCAGCCCCCGCCGTTCCCGACGCGCGTCAGCCTCGTGCGCCTGCTCATGGAGGTCGAGTGGGAGGACAAGGCGGTCGAGGTGGCCGAGACGCTGGCGCGCGAGGACGACCAGAGCATCGAGGCGCTGTACCTCGGCGGGTTCGGGCAGTACGTGCTGGGCGAGAAGCTCAACGGCGGCAGCAGTAACAACAACAGCAACAGCGGCGAGGTCGAGGAGGAGCGGCGGGCCGTCTGGCGCTCCGCCAGGCGGTGGCTCAAGCAGTGCCTGGCGCTGTTTGAGGAGCAGGACTACGAGGACGAGCGGCTCGGGGAGCACGCCCGTGAGCTGTTTGCGACGTTGAACAAGGAGCTCGACCTCAAGCCCGATGACGACGACGATGACGACGACGACGACGATGATGGCTGGGAAGATGACGAGGATGGTGATGAAAAGATGGAGTGATTGTCGTCGTTGGCTTGCGCTTCTTTCTGCTTTTCTATCTCTCCTTGTCTACTAGACCTTCATGGGGCTTCTCCTCTGGCAAGCCGGATATGGGCCGTGGGTGTGTTACACTAGGGATGCGCTGGAGTTTTGGCAGGGAAAAGGTCACTTGATCATTTGGCTCACTCATGGTGTGGAAAAAAATAAGGCATGTCGTTGCGTTGTCACAATAGCTAACAAGGACGAAGGAAATATGGGTGATGATGGTGCCGAATCCATGGCATCGAATTTTTTGTTGATGGCAGGATGGCAAGTAATATATTACAGTGAAGACCGTCTTGGCAGGGCATCGCAAAGCAGTAACGGCTTCTACGCAGCGACCTTGAGCTTCTCCACCTCGGCGACAGGCACGTCGTCGTCGTCGTCCTCCTCGACCTTGCCGACCAGGCCTTGCTGCCATAGTTGCTTTCCCGTCAGCTTGACGGGCTCTTTTATCTTTGCCTTTTTAAGCTCGGCCAGGCGCTCCTCCTCCTCGCGGGCGCGGGCCTCCTCCATCTCCTTGAAGAAGCCCTCGCGCCACCGGGCAAAGGACTCAGGCGTGACGGGCTCGCCGTGGAACTTCTTGTTCTCCTCGCGCTCGGCCTCGAGGGCGCGCTCCTCGGCCGCGCGCTCATTGACCTCGCGGCGGTCGACGATGAGCTGCTCGGCCGCCTCCTTGAGCGCCGACACGAGCGTGAACACCATGGCCATGCCCAGGTTCTCTTGTATCGTGTCCTCGAGCCCGGCCAGCAGCTGCACCTTGTCGTCGGCCACGCTGAAGAGCGGGTGCTGCGACGCCGAGTTCTGCGGCGCCGCCACGTCGAGGCGTGGCGGCTTGTCCGGGTACTCCTCCGGGTACTGCACCGTCAGCAGCAGCACGGGCGGCTCCGCCTCGCCGTCGTCCTCGCCCGGCACGTCCAGCGTTATCGACACGCGAAACTCGGTCTCGGATATGTCTAGTGTTTCCAGGCGGCGTCGGTCACCCTCCCATCCCCGCGTCGGTCAGCCGCCAGCCTGGGAGGGAGGTTGGTTGTATTTGTCAACCAACCGTCTTCGGTTTCTGTGTCCTCGGCATGACAGAGGAGGAGTAAGGGGGCCAGGGAGGAGCGCCAGCACACCTGTGATCTCATCGGGGAAGATTGACTCGAGGACCTCCCTCTCCTCGACCTGTTCTTCGCGCCCCATCTTGTCCTTTGGTCCGTCAATGAACGAGGCTAGACAGAATAGTGGCAGGGCGAGTGTTCTTTTGCGTGCTGCTTGCGCGCGCGACTGCCGGCTTAGTGAGTGCTTGGGTGAGGGGCATTGCCAGGAACCGCGAGAGCTGCCGTCGCAAAGTCACCACAAATGGCGGGGCCTGTGGGGGCATCCATCCTTGAGCGGACTAGCGCGCACCTCACCGCCCGGCATTTCGGCGACAGGGGCCCGAAAAAAAAAAATCCGGGGACTTTATCAACGCGATAACGGGCGCTTTTTTTTTTCTTGAAGACGCCGCAGGCAGCACAGCCCGTCGCGAACTGTCCATTGAGTTCGATCTGCTGCTTTTGTCACATATTTTCCGGCAGCAGCTCAATCGCAGACTTCAAAATGGCATTCAAGGGCGCCAAGATTGGCGATAAGCGCAAAGCTTCCAACGGCGAGAAGCACAAGTCAACCAATCCCTCCAAGAAGCCGCGGGTCGCATCCAGTCGGCAGCCCTTCCAGGCCGAAGGGTCCTCCGAGGACGATAACGTGAAGGGGTTCGCCCCCCTATCTGACGACGAAGATGAAGATGAGGGCGGCGCCAAAGTGAACCCGGACAGGGTTGAGAGGATCAAGGGCCTCGAGAGGGGCAAGAAAGCCGGCGGCAACGCCAATAGCGACGGGAAGCCTGGTAAGAGAGCTCCGGGGATGAATTTTCTTACCTTTATTTAGACCAACGGTGTACTTGGGGCTAACAAAGACGGGCAACTCCTGCAGCGGCCACTTCGAAGGAATCCCACGTACTACAAAAGCAGCTGGCCCAGGAGCGTAAGGCCGCGAAGCCCCTGGCCGACGAGCTGGCTCGCACCAAAAAGCTATGGGAGCGGCTGCGGCGCAAATCCCACGTGCCTAAGGAGGAGAGGGACACGCTAGTGGAGGAACTCTTTGGGATCGTCACGGGGCGCATCAAGGACTTTGTGCTCAAGCACGACGCCGTGCGCGTCGTCCAGACTGCTATCAAGTACGCGACCCCTGACCGGCGCAAGCAGATTGCGCGCGAGCTTAAGGGCACATACGCGCAGCTTGCCGAGAGCCGATACGCCAAGTTCCTCATCGGGAAGCTGCTGGTCCAGAACGAGGACGAGATCCGCGACCTGATCGTGCCCGAGTTCTACGGAAAGGTCCGTAAGCTCATCAACCACCCCGAGGCCTCATGGATCCTCGACGATGTCTACCGCGGCGTCGCCACCAAGGAGCAGAAGGCCATCCTCCTGAGGGAGTGGTACGGCACCGAGTTTGCCCTTTTCGACGCCGCCGCCAAGGACACACAGGTCGATGCGGACCTCCGCAAGATCCTCGAGAAGGAGCCGAGCAAAAGGGGACCCATCATGAAGCACCTACACAGCATGATCAACACCCTGATCCAGAAGCAGATGACGGGCTTCACCATTCTGCACGACGCGATGCTGCAGTACTTCCTCAGTCTCAAGCTTGATTCTGAGGAGCAGAAGGAGTTTATAGAGCTTGTCAAGGGTGACGAAGGCGGCGATCTACTCAAGAACATGGCTTTCACCAAGTCTGGCGCCCGGCTCGCCTGTCTGCTGCTGGCCCATGGCGGCGCCAAGGACAGGAAACAGATCCTCAAGATGTACAAGGACACGTTCCAGCTCATGAGCGGCGACCAGCACGCGCATACCGTCATTCTTACCGCATACGACGTGATTGATGACACGGTCCTCACGTCCAAATCGATATTTCCCGAGCTCTTTGGCAAGAGCGAAGACCAAGAGGCCGAGAACGTGGTTGCTGCAGCCAACAACGTCAACGCCAGGACAACCATCCTCTACCCATTTGAGGGCCCTCACAAGTCCCTTTTCCCGCCGAGCCACAAGGCCGACCTGGACCTCCTCAAGGATATCCACAAGGTCCGCAAATTTACGAGCAAGAAGGACGCAGAGGTGCGTCGTAAGGAGTTGATAACAACCATGTCCCCTCCGCTGCTGAGGGTCATTGCCTCGTCGGCGAAGGACCTGATGGCAACCTCGTTTGGATGCCTGTTGGTCACCGAGGTGCTTTTGTCCGCAATCGGCGACAAGACTGAGGCGCTCGCCGCGATTGCGTCTACTGCCGAGGGTGACCCGAACCAGGAGCGGGAGTCGACGGAGGAGCACGCATCGGCAACGCCGCACCCCGCACAAGACCCATTCGCGGCGAGGATGCTCAAAACGCTCGTTTCGGGAGGTCACTTTGACAAGGCTCTGGGCAAGGTCAAACTAGTCAACCCGCCACTCAACTTTGCCGATACGCTATATGAAGTCATCAAGAAGCATGTTGTGGCATGGGCCACCGGCCCGGGCTCGTTTGTGCCGCTGGCACTATTAGAGGCCGAGGGCTTCTCGCATGTGGCGGAGCTGACCAAGACGTTGCGCAAGAAGAAGGCGCTGCTGGAGAAGGCGGCGGTCGAGGAGACGGCGGAGCAGAAGGCCAAGAGGGAAGCGCTGGCGGTAGAAGCGGGGTCGGATGAGGTGGCCCAGGCAAAGAGCAGGAGAAAGAAGGGCGGCAAGAAGGGGCTGGCGGAACAGGAGCGCGTGTTGGTGGGTAATGCGGGCGCAAAGCTGCTGCTGGAGAAACTGTAAATAATCCGATTGACTCTTTGCTTGCATTTACTTGGATGGGAAAATTACACAGCTTCTTCGTTTCAGTGAAGATGGTTATGCCGCAGTTGTCAGCCTTGGCGCCGCACGTGGTGGTAGTCGAGGCGGGCCTGGTCGATATTCCCCGACTTCAACAGCTGGAGGACGACGGTCACGTCGAGGCCAAGGCAGATGCCAAATCGTGCGGCTGGAACGGGCTCAGAATGCTCCCGGATCACTACCAAAGAGAATGGAGAAGTACCGGGTGGGCAGGAATTACAACGGGGCATTGGAGGCTAAGCTAGATCAAAGGGCTGTCCCCAAGATGTGCATGCATGAAATCAGGGGTGGGGGTGTGCCTAGATGGAGGTGCGGGTTGCGGCTCAAACATGAAGTGACAAATTGAGCCTGGTTGACAGCTGGCTGACCCACCACTCCCGTCCTTTCCTGTCCTTTATCCCCAGCCCTGTCAGTCGACCTCACATCGCATCACTCCTCCCCCCAGATCTGGTGACGTGCTACCCGACGGGGGAGCAAGATGGGCGGTTGGCAAGCCCGGGCCCAATCGTCCAGACATGGGATCAGGACCCAGGTCATGCCAGATCAGATCAGCCCTTTGTTGCTTGCATGCTCGCGTACGCTCACTCACTCAAATACCCATTCCATATCCATATCCCCAGACACGCGCCGTGTTCCCCCACGTTCGTTGTTCCCGACAGGTGTGCAGAGTGTGCAGACCGGGCTTCAGCTGGACGAGGGCGGGTGGTGTTAGGCGAGGTCCTGGATAGACATCTCTCTTATGCATTCACTCGGGCCAGCGTAACCTGGCTGGCTGTGCGCCTCAACGCCGATCTCTTGGGTCGTGGCCCGGGCCACGGCAGATGTGTAGCTGCTGCGGCATATGCCTCTTTATTCCATGTCATGTACTGTACCCGGCCATTGTGGTATGCATCCATTTCTTGATGAATGGCAGCCATCTTGGCTTTACACCACCACCTCATCTCGGCATCCATGCTCGCCACACACCATGTACCTACACACTTACCTACCCGGAGCCCAGCCTTTCGAGGTGGGTAGACAGCTACCGTCCACGGCCTGCCCTGCATGACAAAAAACAAAACAAGATGCGGACCAACGGCACCGCGATAAACATGGCAACGGGTGTTGAATTTGATATCCCAGTCCCACCCTATCTGGAAGCCAAAGAAGCTCTTCTTGGTTGCCGTCCTCGTCCCAACCTTGCAGTTCAGACGCTTCATCTAGATATAATCTACGATGGCGAACCTTGCCACCACTTCACCTAAGCCTTTTACGACCCTTTTTTTTCTTCTCCAACACTGCTTCCCTTTCTACGTGCCCACTGCCCCCTTCGGGAAAAACAAACCCAAAACTCTCGCCCAGTAACACGAGCAATGGTTATCAAGCCAGGTGTCTGATTTGACCAGCAGCGCTCGGCCCAGAGATATCGGCTGCACAGAAAGGATCGTCTTTGCCGTCTTGGACGCTGGTTGGAATTCCCGCCACCACCGAGAGCAAAGAGGCGCCGACAGGAACCAAAAAAAGAAACCCTCAAAAAATGCATATCCCACGGTTATTGCCGAGGCTAAACCGCGAGTGCCCGGTCGGGAGCTCCTGGTACACATGCCAGTCCAACGCGTTCAAGGGCTGCTGCGAGGTCGACCCGTGCGACCTGGCGACCTGCCCGTCCAGCCCCGGCGCTCCGACGGAGGACGCGACCACGACGCCAAGCGCCCACGCAACCACGACGGCCATAACCACCACAGTATCGACGCGGGCCACCATGACCGTGTCGAGCTCGCCATCCGAGGCCGTCGGCAGCAGCAGCAGCAGCATCACGCTCATCAGGGATACCACGTTGCTGACAGCCGCCCCGGCGCAACCAACGGCACACAGGCCTCCAGGAGCCGGGACCGGCGCCGTCGAGACGCCGGTCGGGATCGCGGGCGGCAGTGGAGAAGATGCCGGCGAGATCCGCGGCGGCACCGACATGCCCGCCGCCGGGCTGCCGGTGGGCGCCATCGCGGGCATCGTGCTCGCGGCCGCCCTGGTCGTCCTCGGCGTGTGCGCTGTGCTGTGGTGGCGGCTGCGCTGGCGCCGCCGCCGCCCGAGGGCAGGGCAGGACGAGCAGTGCCACCACCACGACGAAACCCACGCGCGCGGCCTGGCCTGGACGAGCGAGTCGGGCTACTTCGGCCCGGGCGACGACTCGGCCACCACCACCGCCGCCGGCACCACCCCTAGGATGGGGTACTCGGCCGTCATCAAGGCGGACCGCGGCGTCACGGCCGCCGCCGCCGCCGTCGCAGCGCCAGTGCGGGAGGGGAGCCGCCATCACCACCACCGGCAGCCCTCGCCGCCCCAGCACTTCTCGGACGGCAAGGACTCCATGATGGTCCCCATCGGCATGGCGCACCCCTGCCAGGCCGCGTCGCCCGGGGGCCATTCCCGGTGGGAGAGCCCGGACGACATCAGGTGGTGCACGGCGGTGCCGTCGGCGGCCGCGGACCGGCACAGCGGCGACGCCAACAGCGATCTCGTCAGCCCCGTCTCGCCCGAGAGCAGCAGCTGCGGGCCGAGTAGGCAAGGGAGCTGTAGATACACAGGCGAGGTACCGCCTGCCTCGGCCGTCGCCGCTGCTGCTGCTGCCCACAGCCAACTACTACCCCCTGGATACCAACAACACCAGCCACAACAACAACAGCAACAACACCCCCAGCAGCCAGCCCCAGCCCCCTATTTCGAGCTGGACGGCAGGGAGATATGCCCGCCGCTACGGCCGTCGCTACCACCACAGCCCCAGCGGCACGGGGACGGCGCGACCGGGTACCACCCCGCCCCGCTTCGGCTCGGGTCCAGGGCGCCACTGCGGCGGCCCCCGCGGCTCGTGCGGAGGGCCTCGGATGCGGGCCACTACCCGCCGGCCGGACCACGCCAGCCACCGGCGGTCGCGGCCGTGCCGCCGCTGCGCCCCCATTCGCGCTCGCTGAGCGGCGGCGGCGGCGACGGCGGCGGCCGGTACCACACCGTGGCGGGGCAGCACCAGGAGCAGCAGCCGCCGCCGCCCGTGTACCGACAGCAGAGTCAGGACCACTACGAAGACCGCCGCGGCCATGGTGGGGATGCTAGGCCGCGGGCGACGCTGCGGGCCACCAGGCACGAGGTCGAAGCTGGTGTCCACGCGGGGAGTTGGTCGGTGTTAAGCCCAGCATAAGTGGTGGGCGGGCTTGTGCTTTGCACTTTTTTTTTTATTCCCTTTTGTCTTCTGCCTCTTTGGGGTACCCCTCTTCCCTGGGCTGGCGTTTTCATTTTCCTGATATGATACCAAATGTTGAGAGATACCCGAGGAGAACAAGTCATGGGATATTTTGGGGCAAAGAACGGGTATTCCGATATCAACTTACAGCCATGGAGTGCCAGAAAGCGGCAAAGTACCATAGTTACCTAGTTAGTCGCTGGAATAGCAAGCCATCCCTCAGATAGCTACCTTCATACCGTGATTGATACCTTGGTTGGCTTCGTCTCTAGTGTATTTGGGTATTCAGACACGCTCTAAATAGCGGTACAGCATTCCGATAGTACGCCACCCATGCAGGTAAAGAATAATAGTCAACTTGTGAAAAAAAACCCAAGATGAAAAAGGGAAAGGGGCAAACCCTGGCAGAATACGAGTGAGCCATCTGCCTGATTTCTCAAAGACGCAGGCCTCATTTCTTGGTGTCGCCCGCACTTTCAAGTCATCAAGCCTCGACCGCCGACCCCTGGCTCTCCTGAGACCTAGACATGTCGGTCCCCCGGGTGTCTATTCCACTCAGCCCTGATGCTTGCCCATCTCCTCAAGGAGGTCGTCAAGATCGAGATCGTTGAACTTGTCCTTGAGCGACGGAATCAACCGCTTGGCCTCTTCGGCCGTTTCGGGACAAAGGGAGCCTGAGAATTATGCAACAGGACGAGAGCGAGAGCAAACGCATTAGCGTTGGTAGAGAAACTAGAAAAGACAACCAAAGGTGAAGGCGTATGTGTTCGCGCGCGACGAGGGGCGGGGGGATTCCATACCCAGTGCGGCACGCTCGAACTTTGTAAGCTCGGGTCGCGCCGACAGCAGCCGCTCGACAGCCTCGACGTTCTCTTTCTGCTTGAACCGAGCGAAGGCGTCCAGGTAGTCGATCGTCTTGTGAAGAACTCTGTGGAGTCGCAGATGAAACGCGTCGATAACGTCAGACCCAGACCCAGCGCTTCATTCCAACCCAGATAGGGCCTAGAGGTGAAGGAAATTTTAGGGAGACATGGTCGGGGGCATCCCTTCAACCAGGGGCGATGGAATCGTACTCTGTCTCGTTCACGTTCTTGCGCTCGTTGCGGCGCTTGGCCATGAGCGCGTTGATGACGAGCGAGGCCTCGGACAGGCTCAGCGTCTCGACGCCCTCGAACTCGCCCAGCTTCAGCACCGCGCCGGCCTCCTCCTCGCCCGGCGGCGGCGGCTTCGGCCGTGACGTCTGGTGCCGTTGCGCCATTCTCTTTGGGGAGCGTCGCACCAAGCGGCGCGGACGGGTCTGGCTGGGTGTTGTCTAAAAGTCCGATTGTTGCGCTGTCGGTTGATCGGCCGGTCGGTCGGTTGGAGAGGTGCCCCCGGGAGGGGGAAGACGCGTGAGGGTAGGAACTCGAAGGCGGGAGGCTTGGGGATGCAAGCGCCGACAACAGCAGGCAAGAGGGAAGCTGTTGGGTGCCTTGAAGACGGACAATTGAGGCTAAGCCAGAGGCCGGTCCAGGCACAGCAGGAAAACAATGGGGCTGCACCAGAATGGACTCCACTTTTCCTTGCGACCTGATGCCGGGGGAAGCTTGTTCGTCGCTGGAGGCGCCACCAACTAGCGGTTCGGGGGGCGTTTGCCGTGTGAGCACTGAGCACACGAGCATGTATATCTTCCAAACACCCAACTAGGACTCACAAAACAGAAGCAACAGCCTGCCGCGAAACATATACTCTCGCTTCCTCCGTGAGAGAAGCTTATGCGGCCTTGCTCGTGCGCCTCAGAAACAACCCCTCATCCCTTCATTGAAGGCTGAGTTGGAAGAGAGCGAAACCCGCCGTGATCCTCACCATCATATCATGCATGTCGCCCGCCCCCCCGTAGAGGAAAAAAAGGAAAGTCCTCGTTTGCTAACCTTCGCTTGGTGATCGCCCAGGGTGGTCTTTGCGCTCATCGTCATCAACAAGGCCGGCGGCTTGATCTTCCACCGGACCTTTCACGAGGGCGGCCTGAACACGCTCTCAACTAACGATTACCTGGTCCTTGCCGGCACATTCCATGGGTGAGTGGGCACTGTTGTGGTTGTCCTGCCACTGCTGAATACATGTTCTGCCCCCGCTGGGTGATGACTCCGGCTCACAACCAACGCACGACGACGGCAGCATCCACGCCATCACGGCGAGGCTACACCCCTTGAAGGGCCAGCAGCAGCAGCAGCAGGGCGCGGGGCCGGGGCAGGTGCAGAACCGCCCGGAGCCGCCGGGAGGACTCGAGGTGCTGGAGACGGAGAACTTCCGGCTGCAGTGCTTCAACACGCTCACGGGCATCAAGTTCCTGCTCTTCACCGACACCACCCAGGCCAACGTCGACGTCACTATCAGGAGGATATATGACCTCTACACCGACTACGTCATGAAGAGCCCCTTTTACCAGCTGGAGATGCCGGTGCGCTGCGACATGTTTGATCGCAAGCTCAACTCGTACGTGAGGGAGATCAACAACAGGTAGCGTGCTGCGCAACGGCAGGAGTTGGGCCCAGAAACACCCCCAAGAACTGTCCCATAACCGCCAAAGTGATGTGGTTTATGTATGTTTATACCATACCATGTGCATAGATTAGACTCGGAGCAAACCCGCCAAAGTCGGTTTCTTTCTCTTGCCAAGTCGGTGCCACATCCATATAGGACCAAGTCTAATAGTCTAAAAGCAGCACCAAGTAGCAAAACGCCATAATAAGGGGGTTCGAGACTACTAAAACAGTCATGGCGACGAGCTGTGAAAGAGACGAGGGGTGTGGGGTGTCTCGCAGTCAAGTGCGCTAGCGCTCTTCCGCACTATGAGGTGTCCATCTTGTCGCCCTCGCCCGACTTTCCGCCCTTATCGCCATCCTTCTTGTCCTTTTTGCTCCCACTCGCCTTGTCGAGCAAGGGCGCCGACTCGTCCTGCTCCTCAACCGACTCGAGCGACGCCTTGGCCGCAGCCTCGGCCTCCTCCCTAGCGCGTTTCTCCTGGCGCGCGTTCTCCTCCTCCATACTCATGCGTAGCGCAAGCGCGAGCTCCGGGTCAGCGGCGGGATCAAAGCCCAGCTCACCGAACTCGCCACCGTCGCCGCCGCCGCCGCCTCCGGAGCCGCCGCCCATCCCCGCCCCCGAAGCGGCGGCGGCGCTCTCGCCAAAGATTGGCGTCGCTATCAGCTGATCACTAAGCAGGTTTCCCGATGGCGGAATCACCACCAGGTGGCTGTTGCCTTCGTTGTTCTTGACCTTGTCGTTGAACGCCTGCAGCTTGTTCCTCGTCTCGTCGTCCAGGTCGCCAAACAGCACAAAGTCAACTGTCACATTGTTCTTCTTGAGCTTGCCCGCCAGCTGCACCAGCGCCTTTTGCTCGTCGGTCACGGGCGAGCAGACAAAAGCGACTATGCGGGTGCGTTGCGTCGTGTTCTGGCGGTGCTTGAGCGCCAGCTGGAGCGAGTGTAGCAATGTGTTAGCGAATTATTGCCGGTACCTATAGTAAAAACGAGGATACAGTTCAAACTCACGCTCGCAACCTGGATACTAGTGGCTAGGTGAGATGTGCCGTGTATCTTCTTCCTGGTGCGGTGCAGGCCCTCCAGGATCTTCCCTTGGTCTGTCGTCAGGGTCACTAGGACCTCGGGGCCCTTGCCTCCCAAGCTCATCAAGCCGACCGACGATTCGGGGTTGCCCGAGATGACGTGTTGGAAGATGACGTTGACGGCGTCAGCCTGGGCGTCGAAGCGGGATGGCGCGTAGTCTCCATTGCGGCTGCTCTCGCTGTTGTCCACAACGAGCATCACTGCTTCGAGAGGCATCTTGGGTGGTCGGTAGTCTGCCGCGGTCGCTTGTTGCGAGGTTGGGCAACTCTGGTCTGGTTCCTGAGCCCGCGGGCGATGTAGTTGATCGAGGCGTGGTTAGAAGTAGATGCTTCGAAGCAAGCGAGCTCAGCTCCGCCGGGGTGGCAGAGTGTGTTTCCGGGTTCCGATTTACGGATACGGGGGCTGGCCCGTCAGATGCTCGGGGAGAAGGAGCAGGAGCAGATCCGGAGTCTAAGTTGTGCGGGGTTGGCGTGAATGGCGATTTGTCGTCGATGATGGACGAAGCTTCATAGCTTGTTCAGCGGGCACCTCTCCAAGCCAAATTCGTAACGGGCTTCAGCCTGGCACAGGTGGTAACCAAGCGTTCAATGTGGGCCCAGCCAAGGACCAAAGCAGGTGGCGGGCAACTGGACGAGCTTTCCCCACAATTCAGGGTGGGGCTTCGAAACAACCCACTGACTTGGGGCGGTTTGTTTATTTCGGAGAGGTACCGTCACGTCAACAACAATATGCGATACCAATACTAGCGATTTTATCATCCCGCCAGCCCTCCCATCCTCCCCTCCCTTCAACACCAATTCGCCACCGCGTGTGCACTGTGGAACGAATTCCCGAAATTTAAAACCCAGCAATCTCCCACTCACCCGTGACGCGACCGCCCACGAAAATCATGCCGCCAGCTCAACGAAGCAGAAAGCGCAAGTCAGAGATGATGATCGCAGACGATACACCCGGCACGCCAGAGACGGCGGACGAGAGGATTCCCACAAAGTCGGGCAGCCCCGTTCGCACTCCCACGAGAGGGAGCCCCATCAAGCGGAGGAAGATTGGCATCAGCCTAGCTCAGAAGCAGGCTCTCATCGACAACTTACAACTCGAGGGTATGCGCCGCCAGGTCTGACGCGTAGCCAGAGGCGCGGAACACGTCGAGGCTAACATGCGAGCCTCACACTAGTCACCGAGCGCGCCAGGAAACTCAGGGCCCAGTACAACCTACAGGCCCAGGGTCTGCGGACGCGCATTGAGATACGCGTCAACCGCATCCCAATGGCCCTGCGCAGGGCCAAGATGGGAGACCTGGTGAACAAGTACTCGGGCAATGCGTCTCAGAAATTCAACGCGACCTCTCACCGACCGCCTCCCGTACCCGAGAAGGATGTCAGACACAAAACCACCACGTCCTACACCTCCACATCAGCCGCCCCCGTGTCGCGAGGCCCCGGAAGGCCACCAAAGCGGACAAGGTTGGTCGCATCCTGTATCTCCTGACTCAAATGCTAAAAGGCAGCTGCTGACATGCGCGAACAGTGATGAGATTGCTGGCGGTAACAAGGAGAACATGGATATCAACAGCCCCAAGAAGCGCATGCGCGCGTCTCCGGCGCCGGACGTCATGCACAACCCATCCCAGGTCTTGTCGCCGACGTCTTCCAACACAAGGATCGCCCCGCGGAAGCGAGGTGTTGTCACCACCGCGTCTACTGCGCCCGCATCTCCGGCAAAGCCCCAGATATCCCGCCCACCATCCCCGGTCAAGAAGGCATCCGGAGGCACCTTGATCAGCAACATGGTGGAGAAGGCTCGGTCGACCAGAGCCGCAGCCGCGACGCGTAAAGCGACCACGTCCTCGACAGCGAGCTCCGCCTCGGCCGCGGCTCAAAGGACTCGGCGTGGTGCCACCGCCACCACGGCCGCCGCCGCAGCACGAGCTACGGCTCCCTCACGGACTGCGCGGAGAGTTAGCGGCATCAGCGAGTCCAGTGATGGGAGCACCTCGACAGTTGTGAGGAAAAGAGTTGGCGCAGCTGCCGCGCCCGCCAGACCTGCCACTGCGGCAGCGACCAAGCGGACGGTTATGGGCACCATTAAGAAGGGGGTCGCCGGAGCGACTACCCGCAAGGCGCCTGCCAAGACAGCAGCGGCACCGGCATCGGCTGCAACAACGACTAGCACAGGCCGTGTGCTTCGCAAGCGAGGCTGAATGACGGAATGACAACAGACAGATTGCGATTGGTACCACAAATGTTAAAAATGATACGGGTTTAGGGATCGGGGTTACGGCGCAAAGGGGCGGTTTGTGTCTCTTGGGGGTCTCACGTCTTTGTTTCCATCTACAATTCTGGGCAATCTTGAGCTCGCTGTTATTGAGGATAAAAACAAATCCAGGATACATGGTGAAACCCTAACGCTTTCTCTGCAAGCCGCCTGCATTGCTAGGCATTGTCGGGACTCTTGACGGTCTGCAAGCCATACGGGACTGCCGCCCTCCCATTTCCATATTCTCCTCCTGCGATCATGTGATGGCATGCTGTTGTCTTCTGCCGTCATTGCCGCTAGCCTTCCGCTGCGGCAGCGTCCTTCTTTTTCTTCTTATCCTCGACCAGCTCGATATTGTCCTCGGGGACATCTTTATATTTTTGCACGATAAAATCCTGCACCTCTTGGCTCACATCACCCTGAACCACGATCTCCTCGCCTCCGCTCGGAACCTTTGTTACGGAAGAGCCCGTAGCGAACTTCTTTCCGAACTCTTTCGCAACCTAAAAATCTCGAAGCGTCAGCGCCCGGTCAGTCTTGTTCTGCGTGCCACCGGCGGCGCTGGCTGGGAGAAGAGCGGTTCCGCTGACCTTTTTAAGATCCAGCCCGAAAGCCTCGAGGCCGGTGATAGAGGTGACAAACTTGCGCTTGTTGCGCTCGATCCTCTTGATGGTCACGACGCTCGACGCCAGCTTGTCGGCTTGCTTTTGCTCCGCCGCCTCCGCCTTGGCGGCCTTCTTCTTAGCGTCCTTCTCGGCGCGCTGCTGGGCTTCGACGGATAGGGAGGCGGTCGCGGCTTCTAGTGCTTCTGTGGTAGGGGGGGAGAATCGAGACGGGTTAGGACAGATACTGCACACGTGTCTGGTAATCCCCGGGGGAGAGAAGGGCTTGACGGACCTGGCGACCATATCCTCGAGTACATGTCGGGGTGAGCCTTCTGAAGCCAATCCTGGCATTTCCTGACTGTGCCGCCATACTCGCAGTACTATGGTAGAGGTCCATGTAGCACGGTTAGCATGGACAGCGGGTAGTGGGCAGGAGGCCGACGCCAGCTGCACACGTGCTCGGGGAGAAGCGCTCGTCGTACCTCTGGGGGAAGAGTGCACACTAAATTCGAGAGAAGGTGCTGTTAGAATGCGCTTTGCGATATTTCCAGCCAATACTAGCCAAGAGAGAGATGCGTGGGAGAGTTGGTAGGGGAGTAACGTGAGCGCACCTCCACAGTAGACCACGACACGCGACTGCGGCTCGAGGCTCACAGCCTCAGCCTGCTCTGGCTCGGCGCTCATAATTGTTCGGAGAGGGTGGTGATATTAATTGCTGGACAGATTCTGCGGATGAAGTCTCCGGGGGGAAATTCCAATAAAATTGCAATGTAGATTCCGGATCGCGAGAGGTCGGGGCGGTGCTGTATCTGATGTTGGTGAGTGAACTGCTACGCGTGACAGGTCTGCGGCGCCGCTTTACATCACTCTGAATTTGACCCCTCCACCAGCCAAATTCATAGCTTTTTCCATGGAGGGAGCTCCCGCGTCGCGGGGTTGGAGGGGCAATGCCGCAGCTGCTCGCTCCACCGCCGCCCACACGCTCATTTGACCATGGTGACGCACCAGAGCCACTGCTAATCCTAGGCAGCATTTGATCATTCTACAGCACCCCCCTCCGGAATCTGTAGGTTCAAACCCGCGGAGCCGCCCCTGAACGCGGCAGAGGACGACAAAACGCGAGTAGTCACCTCAGCCAAGGTGGGCGAACACCTCAAACAAGGTGGAAGCTTAAAAAATTCCCCAATTAGGCTAAACGACCCATTTTTTCTCCCACCTTGGCTGAGGTGTTTTTGAATTGCGTATGCAACGCATATGCAATTAGTAATTTTGAAAAAATATAATAAAAGTGTATAAAAATAAAAGTAATAAAATATAATAAAATAATATATAAATAAATAAAAAGTGAGTAATTATATTAAACGTTTTATTTAATTTTAAATAATTTAATTTAATTAATAATATTTTTTAAATTTTTAAATTATTGTATATGCGTTGCATATGCAATGCATATGCATTTTTACTGCCCCTGCCACCTTGGCTGAGATTTGGGTCCACTTTTTCCCACCTTGTCTGAGGTCTCCGCCCACCTTGGCTGAGCTGTCCCCTCCAAAACGCGTGGTGCAAGTTTCGGTACAAGCCAATCATGGCGGCTGAAGAAAGTATGCACTTCCGACATGGAACCCTGGCTGGCGGCGGGAGGCAGACCAGCAGGATGGGATTTTGGATTTCTCGATCTCAGCTCGATCGAGAAGCGGGCCAATGTCTTGGAGATGTCATGTTTGTGTGACAACACGTCAGTTTGTAGGGGGCTTTGACAAGTCAATTGCGATCTAGGTTCTTATTTATTCTTCTCTGTTTATACCTGTGCCAGCTATTTAGAAGTGGTTGCACCTCGTCGCTTATGCAACAAGGACCATTCTCCCTGCCCTGCCTCTCCTCCTTCTCTTCGTCTCACAAACGAACATAAACTAATGTCC